AGAATGGGCTAATAAATGTGACCTCTAGTGTGTACAGTCAGGGGCCATAATCCATGAAGTTACGGTCCCATACAAGCCAATATCAAAAAGGAATCGAGATCTTTGGGATATATACCTATATTTAAAGTTATGACCTGTAGAGTGTCCAAAAAGAAAGTGTGAAAATGTGGGCGTATAAAAACGTATCATCGATCTAGTGCCGAACGTACTATTAAATGGATAAGTGACATATAACGGACGGATTTAAGTGGAATTCTTTATGTAGACAAACACGTGAAATCAACATTCGGTCATGTGACATTTCGGTAACTAGGGGGTTTTAAAGTAATTTCATGTTCTGTAATTTAATTTGTTCAGAGAATAAATTATCCCAAAATACATGTTCATTTTTCAGATACGTGTCTATTATTGGTATGTTTAAGATATGCGTACATTCTCCTATATAATGGTTAAAAACATCAAAGGGTGATGTCATATCTATGTTTTAATTATTGATAGCAAGTCACAAAATAAATAGATAAGCATGGGGGTAACTGCCCAACGTGCCCATGTGTTAAGACGACCCTGATAACCATTGTGTGGAAGGAATGTGGTTTATATTTGAATGTGGTTATGTTCTCCTTATAGATCATTTGACAATGCTGCTTTTTGTCCCAACAAGCTATTTACTTGTTGCGAACAAATCACTATTCAACTTTTTTCAATTATTGAGTACTCATAATAAGTTATCAAATGTAGTTTATAAACACCAAAATGGAATATATGTAAATTATTTTCTATAGTAAATAACATGCTAATCGGCCTGCAGTAGATCTATAGATAGACCTAATGTGAATTATACATAGCTTGAGAGTCCTGTATCAGAGTATGAAAACTTATGTGTACAACATAGAAGTAAATAGCTTTTACTACGAGGAATAAAACATAGAGAGATATGTAAACTGCACACAAATTAGATCATTTTGGGTCTAACAAATGATAATGATAGGTGTCTTCAGTTTGAATATAGGCCTAGTTAAAGTTATTCATATCCTGCAATGTATTCATATCCTGTAATTAAAGGCATCCCAAATTGGGCCCTGTATTTTCTCCAACTTCCCTGTATGTATTGTATTAGGAGAGTGGATAGAAAATAGAATAGGTGTGTTGTTTACGCCTCACTACTTTATTTAAATTGTAGGCCTATATTTGATATAATTATCTCAAATATATCATTCTGTTTCATTATTCACTTTGAATTGAAATTGGGTGTGGATTGTTGACGTATGTACATTATTTCATTCATTTTGTCTCATTTTTTTTTACAAGGTTTGTGTTCTAGTGAATCTGTGCACCGATCTGTACAACGCTGGACGAGATAATAAATTAGTATATAATATGTAGTGTTAATTCTGTGTAAGCAGGAATCCCTAATATATTACAGTGAATAAAGTTAGTTAATTCTTTGTTGAAGGCTCTTAGAATCCACTAAGTAACTATCTAATATCTGTTATAAACGGTTATCAATAAAGATCTGCCAATGTCCAGTTGTAATTTGGAGACTAGCTGCATGACAAGCCTCGTAAGTCTTGTACTCACCGAAAACTTGCCATTGATCTTGACAAGTAATAGGACTTTTTAGGTTATAGCTGTGTTTTAATTACCTCTTGGCAAATTCACAAAAGGTATTGAATGGTAGTTTATCAGGTCACACCTATAAACTGTGATCATTTCCAAACAGACCATATAATATCTTGGCCTGATACTCTCTGGTAAATATTGGCTATTTCTTCACATTTTCTTTTATGACTATTATGACAATCATTTCAAAACAGACCGTTATTTTGGGCTAATACTCTCAGGTAAATATGGGCCATTTATTCACATTTTGATTGGCATAGTGAAAACTTTATCTATTTCTTTAATATTAATAGTTAATTTGATAGTTAAATATATTGTTACAGTAGTTATACCACCGTCTATTTATGATTATACTAACATTTCTTTTTTATTAAATGTTCACATGGATATAAACATATATTTGAATATTAATAATAACACAGCTTTATGAGTTTACTATTTATGACTGTATTCCATGCAACGTTTCAGTTACTATTATTTGCAGGTATCGTTATCTTCCCCATCATTCACAAAATTTGACAGGTATAGATATGAAAAGGCTATTGGTGGCTATAAAAGTCTCTAACTCTGTATCATTCAAAGTCTTCGACATTGAAAACACAATTTAATTGTCAATTTAAATCAACATTGATGTTGTGATCTTATTGGGAAAAGTAGCTTAGTCTCCAGTTCAAAATCATCTAAAGTCTTCAACATTAAAGACACAAATTATATGTCAATTTAAATCAACGTTGATGTTGTGATCTTAACGGGAAAAGATGGGCTTCTGATATTCAATATTAAGACAAAATAAACATTTTACCATTGGTACACGAATCGTGTACCATAATGCGTTTCAGAGCCATTTGGAATAAGGGACTCGAAGAACAAGGCTAGACATATTCCACATGTCAAACGGTGACGACATATTCTTATCTGAAGAGCATGTGCAATAAATACTATATGTGTAGACTGGAATAACAAGACGCCAGAGACAGAGATTGCCATTCAATTGAGACCTCTGGCATATTTTGCCGAACATAACTGATTTGAAATTAGTGTAAAACGGAAACGATTGAATGTAAATCAGTTTATATACCTTCATATTACATTATTATATGCGTTGCGACCAGTTTGTGTCAATTTCTAGGTCCCAAATATTAGCAATTTAGCTCCTTTAAGAGTATTGGAACATTGCATGTAATAAAGCCAGGAATAGTAAAGCTGGTTTAATATTAATGTTATACCACTACTTAGAAATGACATTCAAGGATAAAACACTAATAATGATAACTGGGCTACACAAATATCTGGCTACTCTAAAGTTGTGTCTAACTGACTGCTCTAAGTTTGTGTCTAAATAACTGGCTACTGTATTTTTTTGTCCTACATTTAGTTTGTGTCTAAATAACTGACTGCTTAAAGTTTGTGGCTAAATACCATATATTTTTTTCGGGTATAAGTTAATAGTTGAGTTAGTGTTAAATGGCTTTCTGCCGTAAGGTTGAGAGCTATAGAATGGATTATCCGGGTGATATGTGGACATGTGAGGTTTTATTTACACCAACCATATGCTCTAAGCCTTTTAGAGATCATTTTAGTTCCTCAGGATTTTCCAGCGTGGTTTTCCCCTTGTCAGTGGTGCAATACAGAGGACCTGGTAAGGACTGTCTAGTCTTTTGGGTGGGCCGAAAAAACGTGGTCATTTGTAAACTTTGGCAATCACATATAAGAATCCACCTATGACAGTTAGAATTCAACATCAGAGTAAGCTGTAGAGCTGCTGTCTTCAATGTTTTTACTAAAGTAAAATGTTGTTTATAATGCAGCCTGCAGGTAGTGAAATCTATATTGATATTTTCTCAGCTTGTTCTTAAAGCATACATGATATACTCCCTAGTGAAACTGTTGCCAAGTAAACCGCCATGCCTCAATAAATTATAATAGAACTTTATGTAATGTCATTGAATGTCGTTAGTCATTACATTAATATTGAATATTGTTTTATTATTATAGGATAGATTATGTATATCTGGGTTTTTCTGTTAATGGTAATTGTTGCAAATTTCTTAACTTGATCCATTTGTCAAAATTGGGCTTTATTTCTTGTATGGGTAACTAGGATATTTATTTAGGATGCAGCCATTTTTTTTTTGTTTAGGTTTATATTTCTGGTACAATGTTACCTCTCAGCCAATGAAAGGGCTGCATTCTTAAAATGTTTTAATTTAAGTTTTTTATCTATTTTTCAATTCATAAATGTATAAGAAAAGGACATTATCATGGGCTGGGTTTTTTGAGGGGAGGGGGGCGGGGGCTGGAAGGAGTTGTTTTTTATTGGGGAGGGCTGGCACTATCTTAGATCAGGATGTTAGATAAAAAAGTTCTCCTCAACTATTTAATCTAATTAAAGATGTATTTTGTAAGATTGCTACGAGGACAAACAAAGTAACAATTATCCATTTTAAAGTTCAATTAATAAATGACATGGTTGTTCTTATCCATTTAATATAATAGCCATCCAGTGATCTAGGGAGTTGTTAAAAAGTTTTTGATGTCCTCGATGATCTAGGGAATTATTATTTTCGGCTTGTCACGTGAATGAAATCTTTCTGTGGCTTATTTATTTGGACCCAACTGTTAAAAAGTTTATGATGTCCCCTAAATAATGCATCTGTAAGGGGTTATTATTACACACACCTTTCAACAAATGTTGAACACCAGGTATTACTTGGTGTTGTATGTATTCCCAACACTGTTTGGAATGGATGGTGCTTGACTTTCATTTGTTTCAGTCCTGTGACAAACATCAGGTAGAATTATTTGAATCGATCAGTCTTAGTCGAAAAAATTGCAAATGATGAGAAAATAAAGAGTGAAATCAAGGATGATACAATGTAGCAAGTAATTAAAACCACTGTTCTCCAAAAAAAAAACTATTAAAAAATTTTCTTCCTATTTCTTCGGAGAAAAAATGAATGAAAAACCTATGTAGTTGCTTTTCTAACCTTTAAAACTGTAACAAAATGTTTACTACGAGACTGAAGAGGAACTAGAAATTCAATTGGTTTCATCTAAATACTTCCAAAATGTTTCATTATTATAAGATTGTAATTGAAAAATAATTGTAACATTCTTTGACCTATCCATCCAACAAGGAAATAATATATAGTTACATTTATATGTTCTATTACACGATTTACAGTAACTTTCCATACTTGTATGCACAACTAAGCATATAATACTGGAAGGTAAAATAGAATTGATGTATTATGCTATTGAAATGAAATGCAGTTTATATTGATCGTGTATTGTTAAAGTCGGTGATTATCCGTATTGAAGACGTAATTACGACTGAAAGAATAACATCTGTGTTAAATTAGGACTGTCGTATTTTCCAGATTGAATAAAGCCGTGTGAAAATCGAAGACATCAAAATGGGGTTCTGTATGGAAAGTGCTCGGATTATGTTGATTATTTTCAACTTCATATTTTGGGTAAGTTTTTTACTCGTTCAATAAATAAATGATATCTGTTCGTCATCTGGTCTTTTTGTTAATTGAACACATTAAAATAAAGGGGGGTTGGATGGCCGAATGGTTAGCACATGTGCGCTGTATCATAAGATCTGTCATTAAGTCAAAGGGCGTGGTTTCGATTCCACGGTTATATGTGACAAGGAGTAGGTCGCATGTCCAACCTCGTGGGTTTTCTCCGGATCCTCCAGTTTCCTCCCACTGCTAAAGACCCCTATGCGCAAGCAAATTATTGAAATAAAATTGAACCATATGTTAGTACCGAAATGAACTAGTTTGTGTCAATTGGACTTTAAACCCCATTTCTCTCTCTCATTAAAATAATTCACAAGAAGCCTGTTTCCCTTCCTGTATAAAATATTGTTTATTAAAAAAGACAAAAAACCCCAGAAGTTTACAGAATTCAAATGGGAGCTATCTTTCTGCAATCACTTTTTAGAGATATTTTAGAAACATACATGTAGCTGATCACTGAAGTTAAGCAAAGTCAGTCAATGTTAGTACTTGGATATGGGTGACTGTCTGGGAACACCTAGTGCTGTAGACTCATCAAAAGTATTTAATTTCAGAAACATAGCCCCGATATGAATTATGTTAATTTCTTCCTTAGAGGATTTTATTTATTTATTTATTGACAGTTAAAACTCCAATATACCACACCACCATATATTACATGAACCACCTTTCTGATCCCAAGAATTCATGAAAAATTGATATGATACAATATTCACCTAAACTAACATGCAACTTGCAAGTAAAAATTTATCTGTCCTCACATACAGCACCTAAGGGCTGAGTCCTGTACTTATGGACCTGAATGAGCCTGGAAATAAGGCACAGTCTGTCACTGACAATGTCTGGCACAAATTCAAGCTTTGTCAGCTCATTTCCTCTGGTGCCTGTCATTTTGTCCAGTATAGATTGGTCTTTTTTCATTATTTTTAAATTGATATTTATAATAGATGTCTGGCATAAAAGCTCAAAATGTCAAGTACAAAAAATAAAATCATTATTTCCAGGCCTTAAATAGAAAAAAGTTGTAATTTGAATTCAGTAAATGTCTTCTTTGGAAGAGTTTTGATTTGTTTATTAAATAAAATCTAAATATAAAAGAATTCTGACATTAAATGAAAAGAAGTACCACAAATAAGTCTAATGATAAGTCTCTGACATTTTGTTTGAGATTATTCTGTAGTATACCACAAGTTAATGTTTTTATTTAAATACACCTTTTATTTTACAGTTATCAGGAGTAGCCTTATTAGGTGTTGGTATCTGGTTTTTAGTAGATCCAAATATCGCACATTACTTGGAAGTCGTGAATTTTGACATAGAGGGTAATGCTCTCAAATACTCAGCCTACATTCTCATTGCTTTCGGTGCTTTTATTTTCCTTGTTGGATTCACTGGATGTTGTGGAGCTATCAGAAAGAGCAAATGTCTCATTGGATTTGTAAGTTTTTAATCTTTTATTATTACTTTTTTTATGTGCCCATTGGTCAAATTAACATTGATCTTTCCCCCTCCACATTCTTGTAGTACAAGCAATGCAGACTATTTATGAATGATATAACTATTCACTTTCGTCTCCCCTGGTAGCGTGATAATGTTTTGACCAATAGCTCATTCAAGATAAGCATCAAGTCGCTCGAAAAGATATACAATATTTTGTGATTTATTTTTGCATTTCTTAAATAAAGAAAATAAAAGAGAGTGGACCTAATGTAACTACATTGTTTTCATCCGGGTATTAACTTTTCTGTGAAGAGTTCCACATTTAGTACACCAGGAATGGTTTTGTATTATAGTATTTATACCACTGTAAATATTGCAAATTTTCTGAATGTTATTGCGTCTTGAACAGTCTGAGAACGAAATGCTTATCCGGCCCACTGTAAACGTAGCTAATTATCTGAGATAGGGGGAAGTAATCAATGTATGTTTTGAAGTATTAGAAATTAAATATAGATCTGATATTGATAATATCTATTATTTTGTTGACAGTATTTGATGTTTTTGGTCATCGTCTTTGCTGGTGAATTAGCTGCTGGTATTATTGTTGCTATCTACAGAAATGAGGTAAAATATCTTGATACTTATATAAAGGCCTAATCCTACTAGTGAATTTATCTTGAGGTTTTATATCTAAAAGGGCAAATCCTTTTATGTGAACAGCAAATTTTGACCTATAAACTACAGATTTTTTTTACCAACTGATAAATCCTAACTTATAAAACAGGAATTTTTCTTCAGAAATCCTGTACAAGACGGAAACAAGAGTTTTAGTGCCTCTGTTAGTCTAAAATACCGGTATGTACATGTTTTATGTTTTCAGATTGAAGCCAGAGTAGATAAGAGTTTGATGAAATCTTTGAAGACTGAATATAAGTTTGCTAATGAGTCTTCGATAACAAATTCGTGGGATATTATACAGAAGGAGGTTTGCTTCCATTTTTAACACATTCTTAATTTTAAGTCACTTAACCGATCTAAACCTCTTTGATGTAGGTCTAAATAAAGTATTGATTTGAGTTTATCTTGTGTGTTATTTCAATTACTGATAGGGCAGGCTCTATATAATTAAAACAAAATTCCAAAAGATTAGATATGTAAGTCAGATTGTTGACTTACTTTGGTTTACTTTTTGACTCGCTCTGTAAACGGTAGAACACAAAATCTGTTATATATAGACGTAAAAATTTTAAACAAAGACAGATTGTCATTCAACAAAATGAATCGGCATGGAAAATCCAATAAAATCAACAATTATATTTGTGACCAAAATCAAAGAGGTCTAGTCATTTTAAGGAATAAAAAAATGGATTTAAAATGCATCATATTTGGCCCCCTTTGACACATGGTTTCAATTTGTCATCATAATCAAAGAGGTCTAGTCACTTTAAGGAAAAACAAAAATGAAATTAAAATGATTTCAATTTGTCATCATAATTTTGGAAAACTCCATGATTCTATAGTGACTATAGAAATATAAGAACTAAAACCTGTTATTGTATAGTTAATAAAAACAGACATATTTTATATATGCTATTAAATGTAAATTTTTATGTTAATCGGATGATATATGAAGAGCTTAAATGTTGGTTATTCTTAGTATGATAATTGACTATTTGAGTTTGTTATATATATTTTGTGCCTATTGTCTTATTATTTAATTACTTGTAAGAATGTTCAGATATCGCCACATACCTTTTCAATATGACTAATATGTGTATACTTATCAGATTACGGTACTTTGGGTATTTTCAGTTGAAATGCTGTGGAGCTGAAGGATATAAAGATTATGAAAACAGTTTATTCACTAACACCACCATGGTAAACTTTCTTTATATTGTGTATCTCACAAATGTATTACTATTAATACTTGGGAAGTCACTAGATAAAAAATTAGGTTATTATATAATGACAGTTTGGTAGTCAAACATGCATACGTCGATTCATCTGTAAATAATTTGAGACTGGGATTCATTGCTTTGAATGGTCCCCATCTTCCCTTCAAGACTTGGAGCCACGGTGACTCAGTGAGTAAGACATTGGCTTGCTAACCTGGAGGTCCCATGGTTGATCGCTGTGTTGACCAAGAAATTTCATCAGGATTTTTCACCGTGTTTCCCCCTTGTCAGTGATGTAGGACGAGGGCCTTGCAAAGGTACAACGCATAGTCAAGCGGATGGGACAAAAAACAGGTCCCCTGTACATATTTGCGGGCACGTTAATGACCCTTTGCAGTTGAAATTCTATATAAGAGTAGGCTGTAGTGCCGCTGTCAGAGCAAAATTACCCACATAGCACACTATATGGCATATGCCTATCTTCATTAACACAGTCGGAGCAGAACAGTAGAATGTTAAACCCCATTTCATTTCATTTTCATTTCCTTCAAAACTTGTTATCTGTTTTTATACGGCCACAAAATTGACAAACAAAATGGCCGCCGTTCGTTCTCAAATAGCGTAAAAATATGGTATATTAAGGTTGTGGACCCTATAGAGGTCACAATTTTTATCCGATTTTGTTTAAACTTGAAATGTAAGTTTATAACCCAAAGATCTTGGTTCCTTTCGATATTCGCGCATATTGGACCAGAACTTCCTGAATTATGGCCCCTGATTGGACAAAAAATCACGTTTTTAGCTTGTGGACCCTATAGAGGTCATAATTTTTATCCGATTTAAAACAATGTATTATTATATCACCATTACACCCTGAATTATGGCCCCTGATTGTACGAAAAATCGCGTTTTTAGCTTGTGGACCCTACAGAGGTCATAATTTTTATCCGATTTAAAACGCTGTATTATTATATCACCGTTACACCCTAAGGATGGCTGAGTTCGAATTTCGTTTAAATCGGCCCAAAATTGACAGACGAAATGGCCGCCGTTCGTTCTCAAATAGCGTAAAAATATGGTATATCAAGGTTGTGGACCCTATAGAGGTCACAATTTTTATCCGATTTTGTTGAAACTTGAAATGCATGTTTATAAACCAAAGTTCTCAGTTCCTTTCGATATTTGCGCATATCGAATTGTAATTTCCTGAATTATGGCCCTTGATTGTAGGAAAAATCGCTTTCTTTTTAGCTTGTTCTCTATCCCTCTCTCGAAAATGTGGGCGTATCCTGCCTGGCAGCCGCTGGTTAAACATTTTTGGGATTTCAATTCGTTTCAGTTTTTTAGCCGACATCGCCATATTTATTTATCTTGTGGTGCAGTGTGCTGCATGCGACTATACTCTAACCACTGATCTATAAATAGCCTAGTGATCAGAATGAGGTGACTGGTTCAGTTCAGAAAATGTAATTACAGCATTGAAAAGAGAACATGTGCTGATTTACATGATTTACAAAAATAAAACATCAGCAATAAGTGTATGTTAGGATCAAATTGGCTTTTCTTGATTTTCCGTTTCAGATTGTTAATTCGGTTTCAAATGCCAGATTCTGTGTTTTCTGGAAAATCATCACCCCTATGCAAGTTTTCACTGTTTTCCGAAAAAGTCCATTAAGTGTGCTATTCAGAAGAAATAAGCTTATGTAACCCATCTCAATAACTAGTCTATTTACCTTCTCTAAAACTTTCAGCTCAAAATATTAATATTTTTGGAAATGACCGTCAAAACAGTAAACTGTCTCGTTGACCTGATAGTGATAAACCTTGCTATTTAATGCCATTTGTAAACATGGCCAAGAGAAAATGAATTGAAATGCTATAATAATCTGTAATGTAAAATTCTATTCATCAATGGAGGGTGGTCACAAGCATCTGATTTATAGCCAGGTTTATCCAGGCACAAGAAACTTGTGTCAGGCCACGTGACAAGTGGATTTTGGTATTTGTTTGTAAACAAATTCAGTGATTCAGATAGTTGATTGAGACTAGAATAATGGGTTATATGAGTCTTTCACTCAGTATTAATTAGTTTTATTCTCTATTTTTTACAGCATATAGTACCTTTGTCATGCTGCATAATGGAAAATGATGTACCTAAAGATGCTGCTAAATGTCAGATGGCTACAAACACTTATTATCATGAGAAGGTTAATATTATTATATATTTGTTTGATTCTTTTCTCATACACTGGTGATATTTAATCTTCCTTTAATTCCAGTAACAATTTGTCCATATGTTAGTCCCGAAATGACCTAGTTTGTGTCGAGTGGACGTTAAACCCCATTTCTCTCTCTCTCTCCAGTAACAATTTGTGTAAATACACAAATATCTACAGCAGTGGTTGTCAACCTTTCTTTGCCAACGGCACATCTTGGAACACATGAAAAACAATAGCAGCAAACCTGGCTAAATATATATGAAAAATGTTTGAATTTTGCAAAATAAAAACATGGCAAGTCATAGATGGCATACAACCATAGACACAGACTAGTCATAGACAAATAGAGTGACTCAAGCTATATAAATAAAGAAAAAACACAGCTATGAACTTGGCAGTAGACACCAGTGAATACTCAATTTGGATCACATGGTTTTTCACATTTTCTTAGTGTACCGTTCAAAATTTCGCGGCACACTGGTTGAGAATCACTGATCTACAGTAACAATATTGTTGTCAGACCAATATTTATAATATCCATATTGTGAACCGATGGCAATATATATTTTAATTGTATTCGATATTTCTATGCATTTTAGGGATGTAAAGGTGGACTTATTGACTGGGTCAAGTCTCATTCTGTTATTTTGATTGGAATTGGTTGTGGTCTCGCTGGATTACAGGTGAGTTCTAGTTCTTAAGTTATGTGTTTAAACAGCAACCGTAAAGAAACATGTAAGCTAGTACTGCGGCTGAGAATCAAACTGTCGAGAACCAAGTACTGGTAAACAGAGTACCGATAATTCGTATCATTTTAATGTCTGGACAGTTGTATTTTGACCCACTTTTACATGCACTGCCAAGTTACCACATTAACCGTTTCATAACTAAGTTCTGTTTTATTAGGTTTACATATTTAAGATACTATGTCAATAACATGCAGCATTTACTTTACTTTGGACTGAAGGTGTTCATTGGCCAGCGCACTGTGTTAACCAGCCAATCAGTAGTTATATAGGCTTTTGAATGCAAGGGTACAATTAAGCAGTCTGATTTACTTTTTATATTTGATAGATGGTGGGAGTCTTTCTTGATTATCTCAAAGAATAATTTAACGAGAAGTTAAATCAGTCATAAAAAGTAACAAACAAAAATAGAGTAATAATTCAAATCTTTGATGTTTTCTCATTTCAGATCATTGGCTTCATTTTTGCTGTCTGCCTGTGCCGATCTTTCAACTTGGAAGAAAAATAAGGAAATCATTTTATGAATTAAAAATAGAAATATTTAATTTCAATTTGAAAATATTAATTACTGTTATATACTCAAACTTGATAATTAATCTAAATTAGCCATGACATTTTTTAGAAAATTTATATTTTCTAAATGATATCCCACATTATTATCTTGAAACTTTATTTACAGTTAAATTATTGAGACTTGTATTTTGTAAATGGATAAAAAAAAACCAAATATGATCAAGAACACCTAAAATCATGTATTTAATTCCTTTGCATACCTAAAACTGAAATATGTATAAGATGTAAGAGATCTTATTTGATAGGGTAAACTGTTAATCAGATAAGAATGAGATGATTCAAAATTGATAGAAATGACGTTTTTGATTGATAATTCTCAAACACCTTATACCACTTCTCAGTTCTTTGGGAAGTTTAAATGGTTAAATATTTTTTTTCGTAATTATGATAGCCCCGAAATTTGCATAGTGCTATAGGAGAATCTAGCTAATTTTTTTTTATTAAGAAATTTGTAATTATATTTGAATAATAATTGATATTTTTGTTGAAATTTTGTTGCATTATAGTATTATTGTAAGGTTCCAATATTTGATATATTCATGTTACGTTTTTACATATTTAATGAATATACATATTGGTATATTCATGTACACCAGTTGGTATATGAAGAGCTCTTTTCCAAAAAACGATTAGTCTTCAACACCCCGACCATATATATTAATGCAGGGATTGACTGTCTGAATAGGGTGTGGCTTTCAAGGGAAGTAACTCCCCTGAAAGAAATTTCTAGGAGTTTTAGTTGAAAATCAGGTTACAGATATTCTGGAATTGATGAAATAGCATCTTTAACTGTAAATAAAGGGATATATATATATTTACATCAACTAAAGTACCATACGTCCATTTTATTTTCGACATGTCATGTCATGTGATTAATCTATCTGCTGGATTATAAAAATATAAAAAAGGATGATTTGATTAATCTGTTCTTAAAATTGAAGCATTTAATCAATAAATAATCAATATTTTTACTCTTTAAATTTGGACATGTATATACCAAATCCAAGGTATAGCATAGTAGTCACAGTCAATTGACGACTCATTAATACTGGCATTCCCCTTACCTTACATTTGTTGAAAGAGCGTAGATAGTATTGTTCTGAGTAACAGAGACTAAAAATCAGTGAAACCTTTCAAAATTATTTTAATCCTGGCAGAGAAATTAAACAGTGTTTATTTGACAAAGTGTAAAGGATAGCTTGTTATATCATTCGGACCTTTGTATTTTGATGAAAAACTGCCTTTATTACCGTAAATTTGAAATAGATATATATAACATTTTTTTGGAAATGAACTCTTCATTATGCTATAGACCACTGTTTCTTATAGAGGCCATATTATTAACTATAAATAACTATTTTCTTAACATAGTCCATCATCTGCTCAAATAGACACCCAGGTTGGTTTTATGAAAAGTACATAGTAAAATGGTAATACTTGATTGAGCGTTCCTGAATTTAATTCTCTCAATCCTTTAAAAAATGACAGTGGAGTAAACGCAAGAGTTTTAGTCGCCAAATCATGCACCAATGGAATAAGATAATTACTTGATCAGTGATTTGAATACAACAGTTTTGTTAAGTTCAATCACTATCTTTTTTTCCATGCCACTCAGTGCCAATCCTGTCAATTCACAACACTTTGGACACACAATCAAGTATCCCATATCTTAATTATTATATCAGAAGCTCATGAATGTTAAATGCCCTTACAGCTGGCATGTTGTGGAAAGAAGAATGGACCCGTTATTAAAATCAAAGGAAAAATGGACAATTACCAACAACGATCAGAAATTCCTGACACATCATAAACCTTTCATAAAACCAATTGTTTATATTTTGAAGACGTAAATTTTACTAGAAGAAAATTTCTATAGTAATAACTCCATACCTCGGATATATACTAGTATACAGTGTATGTATTTAACTAGTATATTGGAACTTGTGCATTCCAGAATGTTTCATAAGTCTTTTATGACATGTAATGGTCTTAACTGGCAGACTTGATTAATTTTGTATCATTTACCTATATGTTATAATAAAAAATATTGTACTAATGAAACATGAACTATAAATGATTCAAAGTTTAGATTTTCAAATTTGAATTTAATATCATTTTAACTTGAAAACATTAGAAATTTTGACTGCTGTAAAATGTTAATTGCCAACATTCTTGCTCTGAAATGACAGCATTTTGTTTTCATTATTTGGTTTTTAAAAGTCATTTGTAGTTCAGGTAGGTCAATAATGCCAGTTCACAGAAAAATTTAAAATATTGATTTTTTTTAAGGTCTGCTTAGTAAATGTATATACTGTTTGTTATATATGTATTTTATATAGATTTTCAGTGTTTCTTCTACTCTGTTTATTGAAATATATATATGTCATTATATAGAAACAGTTTATAAACCTTGTTGGTATGCATTATTTCATTGTAAATATATGTAATTAGCTTTAACATCATGTTTGAATCAAATAACTGTAACATCTATGTTTGGTATCCATTGCTAGGCAGAGTATTGAATTTCAATATCTGATATTTGTTTTGCTATTAAAGTCAGAATTTATGATGGTAATATGGAGTAAGCAATTTAGCATCTATGTTATACATCAGTTGATAAAAAAATATATTGATGTATGTATGATCAGTTTTGATAGTAGAATTAAAATTTAAGAAATTGTTTTATTTTTGACAAGGTTAATTATTACACCCACCCATAATGATAAATTTATTATTTAATTTTACCTAGAATATCTTTGTACTTATATTATTTATTTTAAATATTCATTTCTTACCTTTGGTTTCACAAATATTTCTGATAGCAAAATATGGATGACCCTTGAGTCGAAGAAAGGTACATTGTTAATATATTAACACAATATGAAATCATGGAGAAAAGGGATTTTTGATAAGCTAATGGATCAAACAACATTTGTCATTGAATTGTTTATAGACTTTATACTTACATTTCTCATTAAATTTTATGTGTTTTGTCTTTCTTGTAGCTTTTCATACAATTTAACCACAAACCTACCGTTCTTATTTATTCCTATGATGTTAATAATTGATTGTATTTTTCTATAGATTTTCATGCTTTAAATTAAGCTTGGGTGTTGCTTAAAGAGGTCTTTAATCTGTACAGTTGATTTGTGCAATAATCATTATTATTATTATTATATTGTTTTACTTTGTACCAAGGCTTATGGCATTCACTAGTATAATATATGTGCATTCTTTTATGTGTTCAAATCATTTTACTTTATTCAAGTTTTTCTTTAATTTCACTGAATGAAAGTTTTACAATAAACTTGATAGCGGAATTTAAGTTGAATATAGAATCTTCTTTCCTTCATTTTCTTTGTATACTAGAGGCTTAATGATTTTTCAGAAATTAAATTTTTTATCTTTCATAATATTTAAGGACAATATTCAAAAGTGTCTAAATTTAAGATTGACCTGTTTATTTAAACCATGTATACTATATTCAATGATGGCCTGTACTCCTAAATATCAGAACATTGTCATTTCAATAAGCACATAAGTTTTAGTAAAATGGATTGTGTTATTTCCGTTTGGACAACGTTGGGGTTTACAGTACTAAAACGATAGAATTCAGAATAAATGTGTAAATGGACCCGAACACAGTATCATTTAGTCAATTTCTTTCAAGTTTCGAAGTTAGTCAAGTGATTAAACAATGAGAGAGTGCTTATTAAGAATTATTTTGTTTGCTGATTCGGTCAAAGATTGTGCCGAGTTCAACCAAAAATCTTACAACAAAAGATCAATATATTTCAAAATTGTGACTATTATTTAATGTGCCTTATGCATTTTAAAGCAGCTAATTAACAAGGGCACAGTACTAAAAGACAATATTGTAATTATACACTGTTACTGATAAAAACAACAATTGTTTTTCTGTTGACTGTTGAATTTAAAAGTGTTATGTTTTGATGATATATTTTGATATGAAACATGTTTAAAAATTTACTAATTTAAAGAAAAAGAATTAGTTGAAAAATGTATGCCTGTTACCTTAACTCTACATTAAGTAATATGATTGTATTATTATCGCTATCTCAAGTTGTTTCAGTGTTCATAGGATACTATATAAATATTATTGTAGAACATTTAGATAACACCATTTCAAGTTTTTACTAAAGAATTGTGCTATGTTGCAAGAAAGAAATTGCTGAAATACATCTTACATTTACCATTTTAGTTAATGTTTATTATAGCAAAAAGCAATTTATTATAATTGCACATATTCAGATATTCAAACGTCCAACTGGTTCGATTTCAGTTAGTAAACTAAACAGATAACATTTTGTTCTTGAATATAAAATTTTTCTTCCTACTAGACCTTTCTTATTTCATGGTTTTTCAAAAGTTTTTGTTTTTCCAAAATGCATAATATTCAAAATTCAGTTTTGTCGATGCTTTAATTTAATAAATGTAGTTTAAAACTGTTACTAAATGTATCTATGAATATTTTTCAGAATTAGAGATGTTATTAACTGTGAATTTTATAATAGTATTTTTTAATGTTGTATTATATATGGCTGCTGTGTATGTATGTAGTTAATAATTATGATTTCATATAATTCAGTTGGATACAATATAAACCTCATAAATCAAAATATTTCTTTATTTTAGGAAATTCATTTTCGTTGGTTTTGAAAATGTTTCCATAAAGAGAAAAAAAATTCAGAGTGTTGATATAAATTGTTTAACTTAAAATCCCCAAAACTTATATTTTAATCACAATTTTAGGAAATTCATTTTCGTTGATTTTGAAAATGTTTCCATAAAGAGAAAAAAAATTCAGAGTGTTGATATAAATTGTTTAACTTAAAATCCCCAAAACTTATATTTTAATCACAATTTTAGCTCAAAATTGGTTTAGGTGTTTCGTAACCAACTGAATTATTATAAATTATATTTCATTGTTTGCTCACTAGGAGTAAAGCATTCCTCCAAAGGGAATGTTCAACTTTGTGTATCATCTTAATGTCTTAGTTTCAATTGTATCAACATATTTTGGAAATAAATATATTCTTTCTATCCTAATGATGACTCTTTGTTTTGCTTTTATGCTTTACGAAAAACAAGTGTAGGCAGTATCACTGCTGTCCAGGCAAAATTTCCATTATAGCACACTGTATGTCCATCTACATTAGCCCAGTCTGTGCAAAAAAGTAGGACAATTTCATTTCGATTGAGGTTACACTCCTACTCCTCACAGTATTTCATTTGAATTACCTCACTTGAAATGTTGGAAGATAACAGAACATAAACTTGCTGGAAATCAAATAGGGGCTTTTGAATGATAGGGTCGCCTGTCCAACCTCGTGGGTTTTGTATGGGTCCTCCCACTGCTAAAGACCCCTATGCGCAAGCGACTTATTGAAATAAAGTTGAACCGTGTGTTAGTCCCGAAATGACCTACTTTGTGTCGGAGTGGATGTTAAACCCCATTTCTCTCTCTCTCTCTTTTGAATGATGAAAGTTTATCAGTAATTTAATGTAATGTACACACCCAGTTTGTATTTAATCGCAACGCATGCTATATACACCCACCAACAGATTTTAGAAGCATGGCTTTCATGTTTTCCAGGCCAGAGTTATAACTCAGCAAAGAACTTATAAGCTCCTAACTTAAAATTGGATGAGAAAAATCTCCAAGATTTTACATGGGCATGACTGAAATTTTAATAGAGTTTCTCTTCTTAGAAATAGCTTAACAATTTGTCTACAAACTGTGGTCCCCCTACAAACTTTCTGCTATTTGTCTAAAATGGTACGGGAGCCAGTGCCCACAATGACTCAGTAAGACGCTGACTCAATAGCCTGGAGTTCGCTCCAGTGGGATTTTACGGCGTAGTCTCCCCTTGTCAGGTCCCGCATACACATTGGCATGCCTGTAAAAGATCCCTTGGCAGTTGAAGTTTGATATAAGAGTAGGACGTAGCACCGCTGCCCAGGAAAAGCTTCCCTCATAGCACATCGTATGGCGTATGCCTATCTTCATTAGCCCAGTTTGAGCAGAACAGTCTGACATTAAACCCCAATTCATTTCATTTCTAAAATGGTAGCAACACGAGCTCTGCAGTCAATCTTGCATTTTGGAAAAGGGTGGGTAAAGTATCAATGAATTTAATTTTTCCAGTATAATAAAACGATGAATGTAAATCACGAATTTTAACAGGTTTTCTGTAGCAGAAATTTCTATTATGTGCATAGAAATTAGAATTCGTGTAGTTTAAAAACCTTGATGGTAGTCTACGTTAAAAGTCATATATGAACAGGAAAGAAGAAAACTCCAGGAGTGTTAGCATACCAAGCCTCATGCATGACACCCAGACCAATGTCAAAGTTTTACATTTACACATCAATATTTAGTTCATGAAATACAGATAACAAATACTAACATTATGCAAATGAAACAAAGGACTAACTATTTTTTCGAAATAAAAACACAGTATAATACGATTACTATCAAGACATTTTTTAATTTACACTTCATTTTACATGAATATATGAGATATTTATAATACCCACAAAGGAATACTTTACAATGAACAAATTACATAGAAAATTTATAATACAGCGTACATGATTAATATTTAGGCTTTTTAGATCCCGATCCACCATCAGAAACTTTTCTTTTATCAATAATTCTCTGAATCTGTTGAAGTTCCCTGTCAAGTTTAGTTTTCTCATCCTTGGGACCAGTACGTCTAGTTCTACGTCCATCAGCCATTTTAACACCATACTGGAAGGCAGCTTTAGGCATAGCTTCTTTATTAGACATGTAGGAACTGTATTCTTCTTGTGTATCGAAATCCCAGCGACCAACAGGTCCTTTTTTATTACCTTGATCCATCTTTGTATAATCAGCATCTTCATCCGAATCATCGAAGGCATCGTAAGATTCCATTAACCCTGGATAACATTCAGCGTAACTGTCTATCTCAGTTTTAGCTTTCAGTTTTTTAATTCTATCATCGCTCTCCTTCCCACCTTTAGATTTCTCATCCTCCATTCCACCATAACTTTTATATTTTTCATTAATAGATTGAACAAGTTCTCGTGCTGATTGGGTTTGTTTTTGTTGATCTTCATCTTCTTCAACAGGTTTCTCAAAGTAAGGTTTTCTAACTTCTCTTGGTTCCCTGTCTCTTGGTTCTCTGTCTCTGTCTTTTTCTCTGTTTCTATCGGGCCGATCTCTGTTGCTCCTGTCTCTGTCACGTCCCATTTCTCGATCTCGCTCTCTGTCTCGACCATCTCTACCTCTATCTCGATCCCTGTCTCTATCTCTTCTATCTCTATTCTCCCTGTCACGGTTATCTCTGTTATCTCGCTCATCTCGAACACGATCTCCTCTGTCTCTCCTATCTCTATCCCTTTTTCTGTCTCTATCTCGATCTTCTCTATCTCTGTAATCTCTTTCTCCCCTATCATGTTCTCGATCTCTGCCTTCTTTCTTATCCTTAATCTTGTTAAGAGATGGTTGATATTGACCAATATCATCATATATACCATCATCAGCTCCAGTGGTCTTCCCTCGTGGTTTGTCATCATCTTTTAATTTACCCTTATCTTTCTTTTTGAGTTTTTTATTGTCTCTTCGTCCTTGACGCAAATACGACAAGATCTGGGTTAATTTGTTGATGACAATATCGTTGGTAGTAAGGGTAGTCGAAGCTTCTAATGTGGGACAATCAGCTTTACTCCGAATAAATGTAGTTGGCACGTCCGAATCGGCAAATTCGTCTTCTAAATCCACAACATAAGCCATTCTTCTTGGAAGAAACAATTCATTACGCTCAGGTAATTTGTTTTTAAACACTATTCTGTAAACATTTCTAGCCATTTTCGTTTTAAACTGGATTTGTTCCTCAGGATCAGGTTCTGGTTTCTCTGGGTGCTCTTCATCTTTCTTGGACACGACTGCTTCCATCACTTCTTCTTCTTCAAGCTCTTTATAACTGATTTCAGCTCGTACTTTTTCCAATAAAGCGTAATCGAGACCCTTTACTAAATGAGTATGTTCCATATCACCTCCAAGATATTTAGATTCCTGGATCATTTGTTTTCGCCTCTCTGCATAATTTTCTTCTGCTTTTGCATCTGGTGCTACTGCTCGGTAATCGGCTGTTGTGCTGACAATTTCAGTTTCTGCATAATCATTATTAGAACCATGTCGTCTTTCCAAAGCCCTGTCTCTGTATTTTGATGCCAGCTCTTTCTTTCTGTCTTCCTCTTCCTTTTTGAGTTTTGCATAGTAATTTTTCTTTTTCTTTCTTCTCGTGGCTGCATCGTCTTCGTCGTCAATTGCATCTGTCGAACGATCTGCAGCAGACGTTTCATGTGTTGTTGATGTATAACTTCCACCCAGTCTGGAGACTTTTGGAGTCATCATCATTTTACGGAAATCATCGTTTGTAAGTGGGTGACTGTCATCTTCCTCTTCATGCCTGTGATGTGAAGGGGGTAGGGGATTGGAAAAAACTTCACTGTCCCGATCCGGCATCTTGAGTTTGTTTATAACATCGATATAAAGTAAAATAAATAGAGAAAATTCTTTGCTAAAATCTCCTCGCAAAAAGTGACACCTGTCGTTTTAGTAGAGTTGTCTTTCCTTTGCTGTAGTCTCGGTTACCAGGTTCAGCATTAGAAATGGTTACATTACAAAAATATTCAGAAAGAAAATGAAATCATTGAATCATTGAATCATTGTACCGTAGTTGAACTGGATTTGGTGGTGTGGTGCGTTTTATTGTGGGCTAGACGCGTTTTTAAAAAAACAAGTTACATGCCTACAGGATACGTTTAATTTTGTTAATTGAGAATGCATTTTTGTTAATTTAGAATTATAATTATGTATTTTCGTTAATAGAGAATTATGCATTTTCGTTAATTGGGAATTTAATGAAAAATTACAAGATAAACAAATATAAAGGTCTAGACATACTTTCTACGCACGAAGGTTTCAAAATAAAAAAATATGAGGGCTCTTTCATTACAAATATCTGTTTTTATGTATTTAAAAAAAAAACCCAAAACTTGTATCGAATTAAATGGTGAATGTAAATGTCTGTTATCTCCTTGATTGTTCGCTTTTAAAAGAAAGAATGGCTTAATTTCGCCATTTTTCTTCTTTAACGGGAGATCGAGTGAATAGAGTGGTGTGTGCAGATTTGATTGTCGCCAGTGAAACAAGGATGGGAAAGAAAAAGTCCCGGCGCGTGGTATCATGCATTTTAAATACCAGACAAGTTCGACAATAATACGAGAAGACAAATATTATAAAGATTATGATACATTTTCTATATAGGATGAATAATCATAAAGTCGTTTGTATTTTTTCTATATAGCCTTGGGGAGAATGTACATATTTGTATTTTGATATTATCAACAGGGTATTATATCTCGTCTATCTACTTATAATAATATATGATACACCATTTAGTAAACATAAATTCCTTTTAGTGATGCGAGGAAAATGTTCAAGTTGATTGTAGCTGCATTAACAAATTAAAGACTCCTTGGAAAATAAATATTGGGAAAATATGGCTAAAATATCAAAACGTGCAAAGCGTTTATCAATAGTACCGAATCACTAGAATCAATAAGAAATTAATGTGACCAAGTTTAAAATAATGAAATGACTGTTTCTTGTATAGTGTCATACAACATTCTTTATTTTTCAAAACAACTTTAATTAGCATGAATGGGTGAATTTAGTATCTGCCATGGGCTTATACTAGATGTAAAGATAGTTATAAAGGTGCGTTTCAAGGAAGACAATTATTAAAACGTCACGCCACTGAATCATAGAATTAAGTAAGACAGGTAAAATAAATTAGATGTATATAAAAAAACAAAAAAACTAATCCTATTTTGTAAGCAGCATTGACAGGTACAGGTAGTATCATTTCAAGACCAGATAATGCTCGACGTCATTGCTTCAAGGATATATGAGATCCCTCATCAAGAAAATCTGACAACGATTAAATTGACATTTATAATGTTTTAACGATTTTTTTTAATAGTATTGTTCTCGGGTATGATTATTATAAATCCTTATATTTCATTCTAAAATTAAAGAGCCACATTCAACAATCAAATAAGTTTAGGCCTAATCAATTTTGAATAATACCACATTCAAAACCACTTTTAAGTAAATCATAGTTATAAGTTTGGTACTTGCTTATTTGGAACTAAGCATTTCGCATGGACATTCGTTGAACTTATACTTGAAAACGGTGAATTGAATCTTACTTAAACTTTTATATCGCAGCAATGAGAATGGGGTTAACGTCCACTCGACACAAACCAGGTCATCTCGGGACTAACATAATGTTCAATTTTGTTTCATTAATTTGTTTGCGCGTAGGAGTCTTTAGCAGTGGGGGTAAACTGGAGGACCCGGAGAAAACCCACGAGGTTGGACAGGCGACCCTACTTCTTGTCACGTACAAGCCGGGAATCGAAACCACGCACTTGACTCAATGACAGACCTTATGATGCAACGCACACGCGTTAACCATACGGTCACCCTCCAGTGCCCAATTGAACTGTGAACGTAAATCATATCAAGATTGTGAAAAACGATCGCCATAGTCGACTCTCTCTTTAACTAATATAGATAATAAACCACAAAGTAGACATTTCCGCATCAAAATACACGCCTTATTATGGTAACAATATTTTAGTAGGTGTGTTAGTGGGTACATTAATTTATGATCCAGGAATCGCACGGTTTGTGTAAAACATCACAGTTTCCGCCTGTGGCCGTCTAAAAACCTTGAGAAATGAAATAGGGTTTAACGTCCTATTGTACTGCACCGATTGAACATAAGAAAACGGACAGTGTGCTATATGAGGGAAATTTTGCAAAGATAGCGGCACTACGGCCTACTCTTAATTCGAATTTCAACGGTCAAGGGTTCTTTAACGTGCACGCTAATGTGTACACGGGACCCCGGGTTTTCATCCCACCTGAATGACGAAAAAAGCTTGAGAATGTTAACTGATCAAGAAATCTTACATTGGGAACTATATTAAAAGACGACAATAAAATTCATTTATTTAAGAAGTCTTTATTATTATTAACAATAAATAAATAAAACTAAAAGTAGATACATAAATAATAAATTATCATTTGAGTATCCTCACGGGTATAAATTATATATAGTTTGCCAGCTGGTGCAGACACACACATCATTATCTAAAACTCATAAAATATTGCCTGTGAATCATGATTTATTCCAAATGTCTGTTCCATGGTTCTGACCGGGGAAGGGAATCCATTAGCGGGGGTTGATTTATTCTTTTATAGAAAAAGATTTCCAATGAATAGAACCGATGCCAAAAATGTCAAACTGAAGACCGTAGTCTTTGATCCATTTTCAGGACATTTCCAAGGTTTAAAGTCCAAAATATCGGTCAGATTAACGGGGTTCCGTATCCATTCTAACATCTGATGCATGGTTACAATGTAAACATCATCCATTCCTAACAACGATAAGATAAACCGTTCCATAGCAACCATTTGAAAATCTGTGTTCAACCATCGAGCATGAATATTTAATATAAATGGCGTTTTATTCCTTGCGTAATAACTATTAAAGTTCTTCCATAATAACTGAAACGCCTCCTCTTCGACTTCGGGTTTATTAATGCAGGAATCAACATACATGCAGGGATAGAGGGAATCCTGGTCGACTAGTGATATCACAGGAACTTCCCACAAGCTGTAATTTTTGGCCGGACATGGATTTATTTCACACTTGAACGGCCATTTATAATGTAAGGTTCCTGGCCAAGAGAGTTCTTCCTTCAAATTTCGTCTTTGGATTCCTAGACTGGCGTCGTAATGGAATCCATTTTGATTTAAAACAGAAAACTGCAAGTCACCCGTTGGTTGGAGATACGGACTTCTCCATCCTCTAATTTCTCTGTCCGGAATTCCCGCCTTTTGTACCAATCTGGATTTCTGTTCGTTTATTTCGTACGAAATTTCCTTTTTACTTGCCTCCTTCCAGTATGAAATGGGAAGCTTGTGTGTGATGCTGTGGGATGCCATTTCCATTCCCCTTTTGTATAAATCTTTCACCATAGTGTAGTTGGTATACAGATCCTGAACAAAAAGAGTCATCTTGATCGGACAGCCATTGGAATTCTTTCTGGTTTTGTCGAACAATTTCAAATAATAAGCATAATTCTGAACGTTCACGGCATCATTGAAAGCCAAAACAACTATCTGTGGAATTTCTTCTACTGTAAGATTTTTTGGTGGCATCTTTTGTCCCAGACAGAAACATTTTGGCAGGAGACAGTTTTCTCCTTGTATACACGGTTCATTGTTCCCCTCATCAACAAGTAAACATTGAATACTCGGTACCATTAAAGTCACAATAAACGAAAGATAGCAAAAGTTTATCATTGTAAGAAACCACACGTCTGTCTGTACTCAGGTATGGTGTATTAATAATCTTAATTGTTGGTTGATGTTAAGTGTAACGAGTTACACCTAAAAACTCACTGAAGCATAGCATTAATAACTCGTTTATTACATTGAAATAAGACAATGACAATCTTCTCGAGTCACTTGTAAAGTTTCATTTTTACATATCCCACATAATCTGTATGTCTATATCCTACATAATCTGTATGTCTATGTCGTCTATCGTACATCCTACATTTACAACCGTGACATTAAACAGCAGCCAGGTAATCTTAATAACACAAAATGGAAGTGTCAATTTAATAATTAAATCTTATCTGTTTTATTTTTAATGGTGGTACCCCCTCTCTCTCTCTTTCTCTCTCTCTCCCTCTCTTTCTCTCTCTCCCCTCTCTCTGGACACTGACTTGGAGTGTTCTGTTTTCCGGGTTTTTAATTTAAGAACGATGGAGATTCATCCTCACTTCCGTAACTAAAGAGGGGGGCGGGGTGTGAAACTTTTTGCAGGGTGCGACTATAAAAACAATAGATATACATTGTCCGTCAATTTTACAGCACCCCCGAGAACACTTCCTACATGTACCCCCTTCGTTGCTCTCAGCTAGTTACTGTCCTGTTCATTCTAATATCTAGTTTGTCATCAGTTTTCCCAATATATTTTTCAGAACACCCATTGCATATTATTAGATATATCACATAATTGGATTTACAATTCATATTTGACTTCTCGTGAAATTTTGTATCTGTAGTGTTCTGGATTAAATTGCCCTTAATTAAATATGAGCATATGGCATCGTGAGTCCACACACTTGGATGCTGAAGGTTTTGAAATATCCGAATCGAATCTGGATTTCGTCAGAATCCTACGTAAATTTGGAGACTGTTTCCGACTATTTATCAATTTACTATATTTCATTATATTATATCAATATGGCCTAAAGACCTTCAACAGAACTGAAAACGTTTGCCATAAACATGTTTTTATTTCTTTTTTCAAAGTCATTTTATTTATCTTTCTCTGGGAGTAGTTCAAAGAATTTGTTTTTGTATATATATTTAAAATACACGACCAAAAGCCAATATAATATACTATTTTTGCATTTTATTTGTCGAAGTCAGAAACCGTCTGAGTTGCTGATGACAAGATTTCAATAATGGAAGTCCGTCAAATATTGAGAAAATACACACAGTGAGTATAGAAAGCCGAATTGTCACAGCATTCCCTCAGCGAGTATTCAAATGTGATCTGAAGGTATACTCGGATCAGGAAATTAACTCAGCGAGTACAAGTAGGTGTGATTGGACGAGATGGGTTCACTAGTCCGCGGGTGCACTAGTCCGCCGCTTTAAACAATACTATAAATATGGGTATAAAAAACAGCATTTTAACCCGACAATACCTTTTTAACCAACACCACCTTAAAAATGTCTTAATGTCGCATAGAAAATGTCGTCATGTCGGCTATCTTCCTTTCAATATACAATTACACTAATCCTGGTTGTTGGTCAAGTAATTTTCCCGGGATTTTGCAGCGTGGTTTCTCCCTTTCGGTAGTGTAGGACGAAGAACCTGGCAAAGAACAGTGTCTAGTGGTGTAGATTAGACAAAAACACAAGCCCACATTGGGGGGCACATAAAAGAACCCTTCATAGTTGGACTTCGATGGAGAAATGCCACTGTTCCTAGAAACTTTCCGTCATAGCCCTCCGGTGGTACTTTTTACCGCCGACCACCGCCGACTACCACCGACTACCGCCAACCAAATGCTTTTTACCGCCGACCGTCGTGTAATTACCGCCGACCAAATACTTTTTACCGCCGACCGCATTGTAATGACTTTCGACCGTAATGATTCCTTGTTACCGCCGACTATTTTAGGGTTGGTTTTTTTTTATATAAAAGAATACAACAAGAATGTTATTTTTTATTTGAGGCGTAATCACGTACAACTGTCGAAAAACATTCATATATATTTTAAAGAATATGGAAGGACAAAACTACAATTTAGATATTGAAGGGCAAATATATCAAGATTGTTTCAGCCACTGGTTATAAATAAATAACATTTTAGGCCTATCTTCTATTAGTGCAAGGGTTAGGGTTAGGGTTGTCGACCATATTTATATATAATAAAATCTATATTTTTATCAAACTCTGTGTATTTAACCAAATCTATTTATTTGTCACTAATAATTTAATTAATTTTATATAGTATTTGGTCGGCGGTAATTTCACGACGGTCGGCGGTAAAAGTATTGGTCGGCGGTAGTCGGCGGTAGTCGGCGGTAAAAAGTACCACCCCATAGCCCTCTGCACAAAGTATGTCTATCTTCCTTAGTCGGATTCGCGTGGAAAAGTAGGAAAATTGAATGAAATGAAATGGGGATTAACGTCCTACTGTTCTGCTCCGAGTGGGCTAATGAAGACGGACATGCGCTATACTGTGTGCTATGGGGAAACTTTGCCCGGATAGCGGCGCTACGTACCGGTCTACTCTTATATTGAATTCAATCAATTCTTGTAAAATGGTTACATACCATTGTCAGTGTGGATGCGTTGCGTACATCCATTGTCCAGATTGATGTATTACATTTCATTGTCGGTCGAGGTTGGTGCTTTACATTTCATTGTCAGTGTGGGTGCGTTAATATTATTGTTACAGTTCGTTACGGGTGTGCATTTACTTGTGATCATCAATCGTAAAAATGTCAATAATAGATATCGGCGGACTAGTGGGCATTCCCCAGTGGGACGGACGGGCGAAATACACAACACTACCACAACGGATCCATTCGCTTGATTTAATATACGTTTGTACGGTGGCCCATATACGACTTTTAAATATTTGTTAGTTTTGGGTTTTATTTTTTAGTTTGTTTTTTTAGTTTTAGGTTTGTTTTTTGAGTTTTCGTTGGTTCCTAGCGACCAATAAAACCACCAAACAGTATTTGTTCGCTATACAGTTACGTTAAGTACCATCAGGATAAATATATTTAAATATAAAGTCATGTTAATCGATTGATTGAAGCTTATGTGGCGTCTTTCAACTGAAGCATACTTTATTTTAGCTAATGTGTTCACTTTAAATATAAAGTATGCTTCATACGAAAGACGATATCTACTTAAAATTGTATTTGTTCCGATATTTCCACATGAGGTCATGATCGTCAAAAGGGTGACGTCGCAACAGAACATGTAAGGGTAGGCTTATACATCGGAACAAAAACAATTTGAAGTAGATATTATCGTCTTTCGTATGAAGCATATTTAAAGTGAACATATAAGCTAAAATAAAGTATGCTTCAGTTGGGGCCCCCGCTACAACCCAAGATATATCCTTCCTTTAATTTAGGAGGGCGCAAGATCCAACACTAGGGAAAGCACCAAAATTTGTCGACCGGAATTTTCTCGACCGGCTTTAGGTGGGATGGTCGCCAGGAACCAACGTGAGGTGAGGTAGGGAGCTTCCTCTGGGCATCGATCCCGGTTACCCCATCCCACCCCCAATACTCCTGGCAACATCGCCATATAAGCGAAATAATATTGAGCGCATAAAACATTAATCAATCAAATTGTTTTATGTATTTTTTTATTCCAAATATCTTTTGTTTTCGGGCAGGATCCGTCACTTTTGCTGAATGACATACTTTTCTTGTTTTTCCGAATGTAGTCAAACCCGTGGTCATTTTTGTGTAGTTAATTTGCGTTCTTCCTTGGACCCGCCCTGTTTGTACACATGACAACGAAACCTATTAGTAGCACGTGAGTACCCGCCTGTGGAAACGTTATCACCTAGGTGAAAACGTTATCACCGAGGTGATAAGTTATCACCTAGGTGAAAACGTTTCCACCGAGGTGAAAAGGTTTTCACCTAGGTGGGAACTCACGTGCTAAAAGAACTAAAAAAACAAAACCTAAAACTAAAAAACAAAACCCAAAACTAAAAAATATTTAAAAGTCGTATATGGGCCACCGTACGTTTGTCATTTATTGCGGTGTATATTTCCGGTTGGTAATTTGATGTATAATAGGTATATACTGTGATATATTATATACTGCTGGTTTTTATTAGGTATATAATTGTGACTGTGATATATTATAACACCGCTGGTGTATATTGGATATATATTGTGGTATATCGATTACAGTAATTAGTTCTGAACTGATGACTTTTTTGTTGGTGTGCCTCATCCTTGGTGTATATTCTTTATTGACTACCACCGTCCACCTGCACCTACTATTAAAGGAGAATACTATCCGATAAGTTGTTTTAACAGGGGTATCCTTCAGTGCGCAAGTATATCTCATGTGTATCAGTTGTTGATTGGGGATTTATTGCATAAACCTTTGGTGTGTATAGATATTAATAGTTGAGCATCATTCCTGGTATCTCTGCATCTGGTGTATATTAGTTAATGACTGATAATTTATTTGATTACTCCTGTTTATTATTTGTGGTGGGCTACAAATAGTCACCTTTGATCTGATGTATTTTAATGGGCACTTATGGAGTATTTACTGCAATATGTTCCTGTAATCTACTACTGACCTGGGCCCTTATTCACGAAAACTTAAACTAAGATACAATCGAAATTTTAAGAAATACTGCAATTCGATTGGCTGACCAGTAAAATCAATTTGCATATATCCAATAAAGTTGCAGTATTTCTTAAAATTTCGGTTGTAACTTAAGTTTAAGTTTTCGTGAATAAGGGAAAAGTATGTTATATGTGATATGTTCCTGTTAACTTATACTGACCTATATATTAACGCGATATGTTCCTTTTACCTACTACTGACCTATATATTAATGTGAATGTTCCTGTTACCTACTACTGACCTATATATTAACGCGATATGTTCCTTTTACCTACTACTGACATATATTACTGGTGTACCGGTGGATTAATACTGGCTAGCAGTTTCTTTGTTTATTGATATAAAAATATAGTACCACTAGTAACCAATCCTTTGAAATGCACTGAAATCCTAGATCTATAAATAGAAATGACAAATAAATGAAATAGTACTGGACTTGATACTGAAACGGCCAAAATACTTGTACATAATCTTGAACTCCCAGACTTGTAGGTTGATGGACTGTTAAAGCTACATTATTTAATTGGTTTGTTCGTTCAGACAATACAGAGGTTAAATATGAGCTAACAACTTGGTGTTAAGATTAAAATCCTTGAGACCAACATGTCTTACATTCTAATTTTGGCTCATATTTTTTCCAGTAGAAAAACAGACCCCATGTGGTGCTGTTAGTATGAAAACTTCACTGATATCACTTATAGATAATAATTCTATTTATGGTGAAAATAAAAGTAAGAATTGCTTGTTTTCATAAAGGATCTTTATTAATTGTGCCATCACTGATTAAATGATCATATAATTTCCTGGTTTTATTCACATCTATTTTAATTAAAGATCGAGCTTGAGCTAATTTTAAACAACCAAGTTTCTGACACTCTTTAATTAACACTTTCTTAAACTCCATAAAAGCTTCTGGAACAAGTCGAATAGTGGTACAGATCTAAAAGAAGAAAATTAAGCATTTTTGTATTTATTTTGTAATGTGTGAAAAGTAAAAAATATTGACTCTTGACTTAATTTATCCAGGCCATAATCAACTCTCAATGGCATCGGATTTCTCCGATATTAAAAAGATAAGAACAAGTTCAGCCATATTTTGATTTAAGCTAAAAATGGAGGAGGGACACTTAGCTTCGAACAACCAGTACGGTGGTTGAAATTATTGCACACATCTTGTCAAACCTTCAAAGGCCATTTTAGATGATCTATTTTTGAACTATTATAGCAAGAATGGCTAGCTCTTTATCTATATCTTACATAATGTATCTTTAATTTGTCCAATTTTCAATCATGAATAATATTTTTAATTTTCTATGAAAACATTTTACTTTTGTGTAAGATGCGTAGAATATTTATATCTATAACATATCTTTCCTCAGTCACTTCTTGCAGTACCTTGGGGCTATTGAAATAAAAAGGCTCCTGTTGGTTCTTGTCAGTGATTAGTAGGACCGTGAATTTTGAATAGCCAAACAATCACAGCACCCCAGAAAAGTTTCAGGTTTCAGAAACAAGGGGTTTAACTCTGTGACAGACCAATCTCAGAAAGTTTAAAATGAGATCTCAAAATCTCTGATCTTTATAGACTGTTACAATGAACTAGGGGTTCTGACAATATCTTCCCCATGCAGTTTGCATATGGATAAGAAATCTTTTATTTTAAATCGTATCTTAAAGAGAAAAAGTAAGAATATGATGACCCAGTCTTACCTCCTTATCATTCTGAGAAAGTTTATCATAACCAGGGTAGCCAGTAATATCCAGTGGTGCTGGAGCCTTTCTTGCTGAAATAATATTTATACATCCAGTCTCTCAATAATCAATACAGTAAAATATATCAATTCTGAATTTTCGTCACAATAATTAAATAAAGAATGAATGAATAGAAGGGTTTAACATCCTACTTTTTTATACACCAGGCACTGTTTTATGAGGGAAATTTTGCCTGAACAGGTATTGATTTTCTACTGTCAAGAGTTCTTTTACGTGCACACCCACGTTTTCCGTCCCATCTGAACAACTAGATGCTGTTCATTGCCAGGTCCTGCACCATTGACAAACCATGCTGGAAAATCACAGGGAACTTTCTAGGCCAATACTGTGATTGAACCAGGGACCTCAAGGTTAGCGAGAGCACTATCCTCACTGAGTCACCAAGACTCCACTAAACGAGAAAGAGGGAAACTAGGACATTTCAGGACTAACATATGGTTCAATTTTATTTCATTAATTCGCTTGTGTGTTGGGTTCTTTAGCAGTGGTTGAAACAGGAGGACCCGGAGAAAAACCATGAGACTGGACAAGCGAGAATACTCCCTTGTCATGCCACTTGACTCTATGACAGACCATTTGCCACCCCACCCCCCTTTCCATTAAAAGAGAAAGGTGTAGGGTATCTGAAAAAAGGAAGTAATAACTCCTCAGGTTAAGTGATCACAATTCCCTTAAAAACTTACGAGCGAGGAATCAATACCACACCACTTGACTCTATGACAGACCATTTCCCCCCCCCCCCCAAACACTATTCCATTAAAAGAGAGAGGTGTAGGGTATCTGAAAAATGGAAACAATAACTCCTCAGGTTAAGTGATCACAATTCCGTTAAAAACTTACGTGCTGTAGGTAATGGTACATTGCCACCTTTCGACATAGTTTCTATAAAAGCTTGTCTTTGTAACCAAGATTTACAATTATCTTCATCCTATAAATACAAATAGTTGATCATTACAAATATAGAAATAGTTGATCATTACAAATATAGAAATAGTTGATCATTACAAATACATAAATGTTTAAAAGATTTACATAAACATACATCAATAGAATTCTTTATAGTTAAAGATGCAGTATGCAATCTTTAATTCTGCCTATTGCAGGTTTTATTTCTGGCTTCAAATTATATATAAACTATTATTTAGAAATGTATTTACATGACAAGCCTATAATTAATTCTCTATACAATCACAGGGCTTATATTTTGAGTGGATTAGACAATGCCTGCCATATCTTTGTTAAACGGTAATATGGATGATAATTACACATACTGCCGATTCAAGATTTGAAAATCAAAACTTTATTATGGTGGCAATGGTACATGACAATCAAGAGAACTATTTCTTGTCAAAACATTCATAACTTCATTGAGATTAAAGTAATTTGATTGAAATTTTCAATATATTGTTTTTCATTATCTATTTTTGGACTGTTATAGCAAGAATGGTCAGCTCTTTATATAAATCTTACATAATACATCTTAAAGTTTTTGTTTCATACCTGAACGTATGTGAGTAGATCGGATAAAAGATGACGTTTAGACCTGGTTACCTCCCTTCTTTTATTCAACACTTTGAACAATCTGATATTTCTAAGCTTGGTGATACCATTTTGTCTATATTCTTTTAATCTCATTATTTCTTGTTTTAATTCTCTTTCATCTGTAACAACAGAGAGAGAGAGAGAGAAATGAGGTTTAACGTCCACTCGACACAAACTAGGTCATTTCAGGACTAACATATGGTTTAATTTTATTTCAATAATTCGCTTGCGCGTAGGTTTCTTTAGCAGTGGGAGGAAACCAGAGGACCCGGAGAAAACCCACGAGGTTGGACAGGCGACCCTACTCCTTGTCACGTACAACCGGGGATTCGAAACCACGCCAGTTGACTCAATGACAGGCCTTATGATACAGCGCGCACGTGCTAACCATTCGGCCATCCAACCCCCCCCTGTAACAACAGAACCATATATTCACAGACAGGGGCGTACATAACGATTTTGTTTGGGGGGTGTTTAGCCAAAATGCGACCGACTGATGCACATACCCCCAGTACGAGTGACACAGTCAGGAGCAGCCCACCACACGTGCCAGTTTTCTAGGGGTCACGTCCAGTAGAGGATCTAGAAGCTGGGAATAGGGGGTGGGGTGGTTCCAAATCTAGTACGCCATCCACAATCCCACCCCACAATGAATGTCAACAAAATAATGGCTATAACATTAAGCGTCCTAGTAGAACATAGATAGTATTGTATAATTATATAGTTGTTCGCCGATCGTTGTCTCGCCGGAAAGCAGTTTTATTTAAGTTGACATAAAGTTTATGTCATATATGATGATTGTGCCTATAACACTGAGCAGCCTGAGAAAATTTTGAAAAATTGAGTCAATATCCTAGCATTAAAGATCATTGCTGGGAGAAAGTCTTGTGGACGAGAGGACCAGAAATGTGAGTCAATGGGACAGAATCTCGAGATCTGCCCCTGTCAATTCAGCCTGTTTTGCAAGAGTTGACATATCATTTGTATAGTCTGACGCTCCACGACCCACACACAAGTATAACCGTGAATATGATAGTGCTGAGACAGTATAAGACAACAGAGGAATAGAAGAATGATGTTATAACAGAATCGAGCGCCGCAGGCTCGAAAAAATTTAAGATATGTAACCGAGCTTATAATTTTTCAGGACTGGGCTTGAAAATTTTAGTCAATGTTATAGCAAATGGAACCAAATTCTCGTTAATGAGAGGATAAGAAATGGGACAGAATCTTGTGGCCTATCTGTCAAGTTCGCCTGTTTTGTGATTGTTTGTTTACCTCATTAATTCATTTAGTATGAGACCGACTGCGGTGATCAGTACTTTTTATGAGACCGACTATTTTTTTGCCATGGGAAAAAAAACATTTCATAGAACAACATACTCACAACAGAATAAGAGTGACAAACATTTTTTCAAACATGACAAGGAGACATGGTTATTTTATACTATAGTTTTGTGTAACGTATGCAATTTAGGCTCACAGATTCACGCAAATACATAGTATTTGGGATCTATTGTGGCATTATTTGTTTACCTCATTAATTCATAAAGTCCCCGATGCATATTTTTGAGACCGACTGCAGTGACTTCACCTATTTTGAGACTGACTATTTTTCTCCCTGGGAGAAATTTGGTTCTTAGACCAACATACTCACAACAGAATAAGAGTGAAACACAACATTTTTTCAAACATGATAAGTTGACAAGGTTATTTTATACTAAATTTTTGCGTGTGTAACGTGACGTATGTAGTGAGCACTTATAAGTTATTTTGATACCGACTGCTCTTATTTTGCGACCGACTGCACTGATTTAGCGACCGACTATTTTTCTTCCTGTACACCCCCCCCCACATTTACGGCCCTGTTCACAGACACAAAATCAAATAGCTATAATAGGAGGAACCTAGTCAAATAGAACTAGCCTTGTATTCAATATACAATCTTGATTGTGGTTTAAGCAATATATATTTTTTTTACGCTCACATTTTTATTTTCCCTATTCTCCGTCCATCTCTTCCTAAATGTGGGTGTATCTTGCATGGCAAATGTTTGTTGAAACCTTTGGCAATATATTTTGGCTCTCAGATACTGCTGTGTCACTTAAAAATGGCTGCATTCTCATTCATTATCCATATGGCCTTACATTCATATTACACAACATAAGTGGGTTCGACGATTCAACAGAAGTTGGTGAATGATCACGTCTCGTAATGTGGCAAATTAGACTTTAATATCTTGACTGAAATTTTCAACATATTTTCTTTTCATTGTCTATTTTTTAAGAGAGAGAGAGAGAGAAATGGGGTTTAAAGTCCACTCAACACAAACTAGGTCATTTCGGGACTAACACATGGTTCAATTTTATTTCAATAAGTCGCTTGCGCGTAGGGGTCTTTAGCAGTGGGAGGAAACCGGAGGACCCGGAGAAAACCCACGAGGTTGGACAGGCGACCCTACTCCTTGTCACGTACAACCGGGGAATCGAAACCCCGCCAGTTGACTCAATGACAGACCGTATGATACAGTGCGCGTGCTAACCATTCGGCCATCCAACCCCCCGTCTATTTTTTAACTATTACAGTGAACATAATGCTCCTTTAATTCATTATCAATAGCCCACGAAATAATTCTTCACAGTATTTGATACTTACAATGTAAAGTCTCTAGATATTGATCATATTCTATTGGTGTAAATAAAGTAGAAAAACATCTTAAACCATCAACCAAACTTCTTATTGTTCTTTCATATCTCTTATTGGTTACTAGAAATATACAAATATGTTAATATCTTATTATTACACAATTTAATTTCTTTCCTGTCTCGACATACCAGTTGCTTTCATAATGATAGAGTAAGGCTTTCGAAAACTGTGTAATTATGTAATCATAGCAAAAGATTCCAAATGTACCTATTTGAAAGAAAAAAATTATATGGCAACCGGGGACAGGGTGTGGTTGTTTGTGTTTGGCTCATTCCTCTGTGAAAATAACAACACATCAACCATACACATGGAAAAATAACAATGTGTATTATTTTCAATGAAGTAGTTCAATGTGCCACCCACACAAAATGGCTCCTCCACTTAGGTATGCTACGGTTGCATCTCTGTATGTTTAAACTTTCAAGTATATTTGAATCATTATTACAAGTATTATCAGACATGAAGTTAGTGAAGCTAATTTGTTTGATGTTCACTAGAGACAGAGCAAAAAGCAAAAAACTCACCAAAGATTTTGGACATATTGATCAAACCATAATCCCTTATTATTCTATAACAAAAAGAAAATGACATTACAAATCACATCATCACTATTTTTCAATTATTTTAAGGAGCTACAGTGGCTCAGAGAGTAAAGCACTGGCTAACCAGTGCATCCTGGAATTGGCCCAGAAATTTCCACTGAATTATTCAGCCGGTTTCCCTATGTCACTTGTCAGTGGTACAGGGAAAGGCCTGAGTCTGACAACGAAAAGAGTTAATTCAGACATGGTTTTCACCTTCGGGACTGACAGGTAAAGTTTGTCTACTCCTTCGTAAGGGACGAAAGAGCTGAGGCACCCCCATGTACTTGTTGGCACCCACGTTAACGGGTCCTTGATAGTTGGAATTAGATGAAGAGTAGCTGCTGCCCAGGTGAAACTTCCCTCATAGCACAACCCATGACATATGTCTTTTGATGCAGAAAAGTAGGACATTAAAATAAACCTCATTTCAATTCAATTATTATAAAAAATTATTATAATAATTATTATTATATTATTATAACATGTTAGTTATCAACTTGTATCACTGCTATAACCCATGGTAATTAAGTGGAATATTGGGAATAACTAAAATAATGAGTTGTATTAATGATTTCATATTTACTTTTTTCTGCGATCTCTTTCTTTTAAACACGTATGATAAATCTGAACTGCGGCAAATTTCAGATCTACAAATAAAAAGAAAACTTATGTCAATGATAGGTCAATATTAAAGTACTATTTAACTTCCATGCAATCTGTAACACTAATGGAATGCGTTTAATGTCGCTTCAATACTTTATTAGGCTGGCTGTTTTGAGACAAAAATATGGCATTTTAAGGGTGGAAAATGGGTGGTCGGAATTTCAGTCATAGAATGGCATGGGATTTAACATCTCCTCAAGTAGCTTTCATTTCATTTTAACTGGACAGCTGCTTTACTGTTTACTCTTCATCGAATTCCAATTGCCAATGTTTGCTTGATGGGACTTAGGTTTTCCATCACATCACAATTAAGCACACTTTCCTTGTTAGGCCCGTCGTCAGCACCCAAGACACCTGTGTACACAAGTGAAGTCAGCACCCAAGACAAGCGAGACCGTGGCTTGAAAAATCTATAATGTTCTTCTGGTCAAGAGAGAGAGAGAAATGGGGTTTGACGTACACTTGACACAAAATAGGTCATTCTGAGACTATCACAAGGTTCAATCTTATTTCAATAATTCTCTTGCACGTAGGGATCTTTAGCAGTGAGAGGAAACCGGAGGACCCAGAGAAAACCCACAAGGTTGGACAAGCGACCCTACTCCTTGTCACATACAAGCGGGGAATTGAAACTTGACTCAATGACAGACCATTCAACCACCTCCCCCCCCCCCACCTCCACTAAAAGAGAGAGGTGTGGGGTATCTGAATAAAAAGAAATAATAACTCCTCAGGTTAATAATTCTCTTGCACGTAGGGGTCTTTAGCAGTGGGAGGAGACCAGAGAACCCGTGAGGTTGGACATGCGATCCTACTCCTTGTCACGTGGTATTCAAACCTGTGACATTTTTGTTGAGATGCCAGTGCCCCAATGCTCGACATCGTGGCTCCAAATTCCAATTGATGTGGATTTCCTCTTGTTTCTAGTCCCATATTCAACTAGAAACACATATCAAGACAGGTGCCCTGCAGGTATAAACTGGGTTCGAAAAAAAACCATGTAAATATATATGATGGAGGATTATCAATGGATCAAAATCATTAAAATCTCACCTGACATCAATTTTTTATCTTCTTCCCATAAACTATCTTCATCATCATCATCATCATCATTATCATCTACATCATCTATCTGTGATATATCTAATTCACAATAATTATCATATTCTATAGTAAAATCACCTCGAGCAGCGAAATAACCACCCATGTCATTAATTATTGTTGAACCTTCTGATGGACGTGGTGGATCATCACATACTGTAAATACAATTTTTTAGAAAAGAAGAATTTAATATTTAGCATTTGGTATATGTAAGTATGGAATACCTCAGTTCCCGGAACAAATCTGAGAAAAGCTAAATCTGAGAAAATCTATCTGTTTTACTTTGGTTTTTGCAGCTCATTTTCAAAACAGCATGAAACCATTGTTCCCTAGAAACTATTTCCCCCTTAAACAGCCTGAATCACAAAACTAGTATATGATTCTTAAATAGTTATAACAGCTCCTAGAGAGCAGTGGTATAGGGCAGTTCAAGTCCTACTGGGTTAAATCACTTGTAAATGTGTCAAATGAAATGAAATGAAATGGAGTTTAACGTCCTACTCCGACTGGGCTAATGAAGACGGGCATAGGCCATACAGTGTGCTATGAGGCAATGCATACACAAGACCTCAGTTTTCCGTACCATCCGATTGACTAGACACCTGTCCTTGTCAGGCCCTTCTTCCTGCACCACTGACAAGGGGAAACCACGTCGGAAAATCCTGATGAATTTTCCTAGCCAGCCAATGCAGGGATCGAACACGCGACCTCCAGGCTAGCAAGCCGGCGTATTACCTACTTAGCCACCATGGCTCCTGCAAATGAGTCAAAGTGTTCCTCCTACTGCTACAAGTCGAACTCAGGATCTCCAGAGTGGAAGTTACTAGGGATGTTCAATAGACGTCAAGTCAGTTACACAATGTCAGATACCGTGTAACGTCATTATTGCCCAATGTAAAAAATAATATAAATTTCGACCGTACAAACAAAAACAGAATGAAGTAGATAATAAGTAGGGTTCACAATGCATACAAAGGATTAATTTTTAAAAATTGGTTACCACCATTACAAAAATTATCACAAAAACCAGGAGAATTTAACCATACTCTACAATATTATTTTAGGTGCATTTATGAGTGCAATAAACTACAATACATACTTATGGGAAAAAAGCTACTAATTGATGAGTATTCTCTCAACACTGAGTGAATACACTTGAAACGTTGCCTAAAGTATGAGTTATAACATACTGTACATGTTGCATGTAAAATCTTCACATCAAAAGGTAGTTGACATCTGAATTCTAATTTATCATCTATATTTAGTAACTCGTTTATAGCCTATCTAGCTAAATGAAAAGTTAATTGTACTGTATTTATTATAGATGACATATTGATCCGCTTCTCTCAGTCTTCCTTACTTGTATAGACTTATTAGAATAACTTGGTTTTAATTTTCATGTCAGGAGTTCTTTTAGCAGTAAGTTTTAGAACGCAGTTTTTGTCCTTGTGATATATCAATTATCATAGTGGGATTGAACAACTGTTTATACCATTCGGCCCACCGAATGATATCACCTACTAGTAGATACTAAACCTATGCACAGTTATTTGTTCTTACTTCTTAAAACCAATTCTAAGATATATATCTTAACTTACATTTAAAAACTATTGGTGCTGGATGAAATGATATCTCTGGTTCTGTGAACTCTATAAAATAAACAATATTAATTATCATTTTATATATTACTTCATCAAACTGTCCTGAAGCAATGTTAGAGGAAACAATGTTTTGTTTTTTTGACAGCGGGCTTCAGCTTAAGCCTAGCTCACAACCTGGCGTACGTGCTACTACGGGTAAAATTTTAGTAAACTCGTACATGAGACTTACACATCCCTTGTGGGTGTTCGGTATCGTAGAAGATCATAGACTGGTCGTAGAGACATCTGGTCCTGCACATACAGAATTGTCACCCGGTTTCTTCCGACTGGTCTGCTTTGTGAACTAGGCTTTAGTAAGTTTAACACCACATCATTAATTTTTACACCACACCACACCACTTGACTCAATGACAGACATTACGATCTTAAGCATATGTGTTAAACCATTTGGCCACCCAACCCCCTTGATCACATTACTTGGTTAATTAAATTAATTCAATAGTGACATTATTTATACCTGGTAATGATTGAGTAGGGTTATCTATATAATGTTTATTATAATGTCTTTCACATTCACTTCCAGATTTACTTTTAACCTGATCAGCTATTTCTTTCCTTGAAAAAATAAAAACAAAAGATCAATTAAGCAGATTTCTAAAACAGATTTAAGCAGATCTTTGCATTTAAAGATAAGAACTATCTAAAGTCAAATCTTCATTTGTATTGCACAGTCTTGAATTAACTACATGATAGTGACACTTTATATATACACCGTGTTATATGCAAGGCAGTTTTGCTCAGATACCACTAGAAAATTTACTATATATATATATCAGTCCCCGTCAACTTAAGGGATCATGATTGACACACTAGCACATGTAAAGTGTGATAGATCATTATTTTCTATTACCAATTTCCATATCCATATTCTTCAATAGCTTTAAGTAGGTTGATTTCTTCCATAGCAGTCCATCTTTTTTCAAATATAGAAAAATCATTTCTCTGCAAGAAAAAATGAATAGGGTCTATATTAAAAATTTCTGTCAAATTACTTTATTCTGAGCAAATTTATTAATGTTTGAAGTTTTGACAAGATACAGCATCATTAGCCTTGATCGTCAAGTACCACTGCTACAATAACAAAAGTAGTCTTGTTTTTCCATTTACAGAATCTTCTCTTGATTTACAGAATTTTACAAAGGTAGATGGTTATCATATTTTTCCACAATTATACAGTTTGTGATTAGTTTGACGACCATCATAAGATGTAATACATTTGTATACAGTTTTTGGTAATTTTAGAGCAATTTTCATTTCCATGCCATTGTGACCTTTTAGTACTGGTACAAGTCTTTCAAACTTACAATCATAATATATGAATGATTGCTTTCATGGTTGTCAAATTCCACACCATTGGCAAAACAGTGAAGACATATCTGTACATTATTTTCTGAACATTGAATACATCTAATATAAGGTTCTATTAAAACAGATGAACATCCACTACACAGGACATCACCAGTCATTTCCTCTTCAATATCTTCCATCTGCAAAATTCACAGGAATTAAAAATCTGGTAGGCCTACACCATGAACTAAAATGAGCCATCCATATCATATTTGTACCCAATTCTAAATCTGTTTAGATTTTACCCAATGAAACTATTGTACCAGAAAATCATTTATATCAGAAAAGGGGCAGTAGGACATGTACGTTGCTAGATGGATGTAATTAGCTACAAGACATTGCCTGGACATGACAAGAAACTGGTATAGACATACAATTTCTGCCCCGTTCAGTTAGCGCAAAATTTGTAATTAAATTGCCATAATATATTAATTATTATGAGACTGATGTCTGATTTTCAACCCATTTATTTTACGGCAGAGGCAATGGACATCAACCGACATGGTCTCAATTTTGATCATCTTTCCACCTGATATGAGTGGTGAGAACATTTGCCGAGTTAAAAGCCATTTGTTTGAATTTTTAAAAATCGGTTCGAATATTTCAAAACCTTGAAAATAACAGAGATATAACACGTTTGTTGAACCTTTAGCGAGTCAAAAAGACACTACTTTCATTTATCAAGATAATAATATTATTATGCCTTTTATTACTTCAGAATGAAGAGTTCATTTCCTGTTGAAAAAAAAAATGCAACCGATAAAAATAAAAGAAATATTATGTACTCTAAAATCAAAGGGAAAATTTTCAGGGTGAAATTATATACAATTAAAAAAAAGATAATCAAAGTTTGCTGTTTAGAACGTATATAGAATAAAAACTCAAGGAACACCAACATAAAATGCTACTCTTATGTTTATCGATAGCTTTGCCTTTGTAGAAAAAGGACATGACCGGAAGCGGAAATTCTACTTTGCCTTCGCAAACTTACACCGGGTATATTTCCATTAAAGCGTTTATTACCCTTGTTTGCCAACCTAGGTTACTAACACACTTATCTTGTCTAAATATGGTGGTTGAAATAGGCGTAGAGGGCTATGACGCCTTCCAAAAAGTAGCAGAAGAAAATAAAGGAAAAGTAGTCTTTGCTTTATTTTGTGGTTCCATTGACGCTAATGGCCAAAGTTGGTGTCCGGATTGTGTTGTTGGTGAGTCTTTCCAGTATTATCATGGACCGTATTATAAGATCCATGGTATTATTAGTTTAGTATAGTTCAGCATTGATCTTATCTTGGTCGATTTCAAATTTCTATACATTGTCTACTTATTTAATCGGTTAATACAGAACATGGGGTACAGGCTCGATGACAGTTAGGGGGGCAGAACCCGAAATGCCCGAAAACATTTCGGGTTTACAGACAGCGGCGCCGGTCTTCCTGGAGAGGCGAAGAAGCGGGGCTTACCTTGTATGCCACTCCCCACAAAGAAAATTTTGGAATATTTGACGGCTGCAAACTTGTTTTTCTGCTATTAATAATTTCGCCCCGTGAACAAAGTAACTTCAAAGTAGTCTAATATAGCCTAATTAAAGTGGCTGAATCGAATTCCAATCAGTCGTTTACAGTCCACGGAGACGGGACCGTTGGGGGAAAATTTTGAAAATTTAACTGCCACAAACGCGTTTTCCTGCTATTCCACCCTGTGAATACAGCAACTTCAATTTGGTCCAATATAGCCTACCTGGCTGACCAGAATTCCAAACAACCAATCAATCGTCTCGGGGTATGGGGGCCTCACCCTCCCGGAGAAAATTTGAAAATTTAACCACCGTAAATGCGTTTTCTGCTATTCTAGCCCGTGTAAGCAACTCCAAAAGTATCCAATGGTTTTGTAACCGAAATCCCATTCTGAATTCCAATCATTCAATCAGACTGTTGCAGCTGCATTCACAAATAATAATCGATGCCCGAAAAATGTTGCACAAAGTAGAGTGGCTCCAGACAAAATGTTTTAATCCATCGTGAACTCAGTACAAATTTGTGGTATTCAATTAAAATAAAAGTAAAATTAGTGTTTTATTAGGGCTCGATGACAGATAGGGAAGCAAAACAAGAAATGCCCGAAACAAATTTCAGGTTTACAGACAGCGGCGCCGGTTTCTTCAAGAGGCGAAGAAGCGGAGCTGACTTTGTATGGACCCCCCAAGAAAATTTTGGAAAACTTGACGGCCGCAAAAGCGTTTTACTTCTATTCCAGCCCGTAAAATTAGTGTTTTATTAGATTTCGAGCACTTTATTTTGCCAATTTTCAGTTTACCCGTCTGCCCGAAAAGTCAGCTTGCCCGAAAGTTAGGGGGGCAGCTGCCCCCCTGGCTGATACGCCTATGATACAGAATATAAATAAGAAGTTAGAGCTAAAAAAAAAAAGACAATCATTGGGGCCAAATGGCAGTTGGGAGGGATCGCACACTGGAGTGAGAACGATTTTTTCAGGTTTTCAGAGTGATTTGTGGAAGAATTTTAACACGGATTCCACCCTTTCTGCTTTCACCAGTCACAAAAGTAGCCACTAAAATAACAATCTTCTACCGACCAATATTCCTATTATTGGTAGATTTTAATGATTAAGTAATCAATTATATTTTAGCTGCTCCAGTGATCAATGCTAATTTAAAATATGCCCCCAAAGACTCTGTACTGATTCACTGTGGAGTTGGTGATAGACAGTTGTAAGTATGCAATTTAATATGGAATTGTTATATTTTTTAGAGAAAATATTTTAAAGTAGTAATGGGTATAGGCCTACTGCTCGTTTTAGAACACCTGTTACTGCTTCTCATAAGGCTTATTATATTTTCGATATTTTAGGTTATACAAGTTCAAGACAAATTGAACCAAAAAAGGCAACGTGGTTACTCTTCTTTGGTTATAGAAAAATACTTTATTCATCAAAACAGATTAGTGTATTCCTATTTCCCAAATACACATAAGCTAAACCAAAGAAATATGTATTACAGGAAACCCAATCTAATTAAAATACAGATCTATATTTCGTTTCTTTTTTTATGCTTTCGATGGCTTACAGTACACTACATGAATTTCTGACCGGTTGTAGCGATAGGTTGCGTCAGAGGTCATACTAGCGGCTTTTGACGTATGACATCAGACAATTGATTAACCAATCAGTATTGATGTTACTAGTGGATTACCCACAGTTCCGTGCAAAACATGCCTAAAGCTCGCCGTAACAGACTGTTTCATTTGCTAATAGCTCCCATCATTCAGAACATGTCAATGATAACAACTCTTCCAGATCCTAGTGTAGTAAAGGCAAGTGAAACGAAATTTTGAACTATAAAAACGAAACAAAATAGGATCTGTGTTTTAATCAGATTGCAGGAAACCAGATTCCGTGCTGACTAAAATATGAAACAGTGCCATTTCTTATTGAATATATCTACATTGTGTATTTGTTTCAGTTGGAAGGACCAGAATAATGCCTTTAGGAAAGATAATAGATTAGCACTGAAATCTGTACCAACTTTATTAAAACTTGGACAGGTGAGTTGGTATTGTAAGTTACATTAGGTTGAGTGTTGATGTTAGTAAAATTTGGGGGATTCTTGATCTAGTTCCACTGTTAAAGACGCGCTCTTTTTGTAATGATAACAGATTTTTATCCAAAGAATAAACAAAGTAAGGAACAAAATTCAGTTGGCCGGACTATTATTATTTTTAACTCAAATAAATAAAAGAGGTTCCGTTATTTAATTCATTAAAGGATAATATTGGTGTCAGCCATTTTATATATGTGATAGAACTGGTTAAACACAAAGATTTCAAGAAACGGAAGTGACGAAAGCAAAAAGAAAACACGAGTTATCCTTCTATATAACTGACCTGTTCTATCCTTCTATATAATTAACCAGTTGACACCAATATTGTCCTTTAATTTGAATGAGCTTCGGCTACGACAACGATATCGATCGCGTAAAATAACTAGCAATTATCTTATCGCATTGTCATTCGAATTTATCTGACTAATATGAGTAGAAGAGGTGTACATGGGTGAACACCGGCATATTTGTATATCTCATTACTGTATATGTAAAAGTTTACCCACACATTACAAGTATCATTCGGCTACATCACGATTTCTCATTAAGCCCCGTCATCAACACCTGATTATTGGATTTCGGTGCACATAAGGCACATAACGGCGCACGTGGGACAGCTGATTATCGCATTGTCATTCGAATTTATCTGACTAACATGAGTAGAGTAGGTGTACATGGGTGAACACCGGCATATTTGTATATCTCATTATATGTAAAAGTTAACCCACACATTACAAGTATCATTCGGCTACATCACGATTTCTCATTAAGCCCCGTCATCAACACTCGATTATTGGATTTCGGTGCACATAAGGCACATAACGGCGCACGTGGGACAGCTGATTTTTAAAAATCAAACAAAAGTTATCGGTGACGTGTCACGACTCTTTATTGTTAATAATTTTCCCGGGTAATCATTTGCCGCCCACGATTATTCGCCGGTAGTGAATACCCCCCATAAAGAATACGACGATCGCTGGCTTTGACGTTCCAGTCGCCGGTAGTCAATAATATTGTTCATCGATCAGATGTTTGCTTTCGCGGACAAGACGCGAAATGCTTTAGAGACATAACAATAGGGTACAGGGAGTTGTTCAGGAATTTGAGAAACGGGAGAGGGGGTGGTGGCAAAGTGGCGACAACGTCAAATTTGGCGTGATTTCTGGGGAATTACCCGAGATATTGATTAAATCAGAAGCTCTGAGATAACATTTCTGTTTATTTGGGTAAATAGGATTCGAGTGAATTGAGGGAGGCAAAAACGACCGCAAAAATGCTTCGTACGTTAGCTTGTTCGATGTTATTTCGATGACTGTAGGGTAGATAAATATGCTCTGGGCGAGCAGTGGAGGGTCCGGACAATAAAAGATTGAAATGGAAACAATGCACCCCTCACTGTTTGAATGCTCCGGAGAGATGTGTATTTGTCAACGATAAAAATTCTCACACAACACGTTCAAAGCTGTTAGAGGTATCATAAAACAAAGGTGACAAAACTTGACGATAAAACTTGTCATTTATATGACATAGTCAGGGATGTTTCTCCTTCTTTGTGATTTGTGGGATCTGATAATTTCACCTACAAGTAACCAAGAACATTATAATAGATATACAAGAAGATATTTAATAATATATCCTTCATAGGAGACTTTAAGTGATTCAGTATGGCGATGACCCACTGACCAGATTCTAGCGGGTTCTATCCCGGTGTTGGCCGAGACAGTTTGACTTGTCAGTGGCGTAGGACGGCGCCTTGCAAGGGGAAGCTGCTAGTCTTTCGCATGGGCAGCACATCAAATATCCCCTAACTGTTGAGTAGGCCGTAACCCCGCCGTCAGCGTTAAATATCCCCCATAGCGCATAGCGCACTGACGTATGACACTTGAAGTCTTCTTTATTCCCGTTGGAGCAGAAAAGAAGGAGGATTTAGGGAGTGCAGCACACAGGTCTCCAGAGATCAATTGTTTCAATGGCATTAAGTAATTGAACTGGAATATACAGGTCATAATTCTATGGAATACAATTACTGCTTATTACTGAGCGACGTTTTGACTAGGCTTCTCTAGTCATTATCTAGTCATTATCAAGCAATGATAAGATATGAAATATAACAAGACAATTATATACATGTACACAACCATACTTAGTTAATGCTGACCAACCAGAGATACCCCTTCTAATTACATGTACTTAAAGGGAATCTAATTTAATTTAGGAGAAGCCTAATCGAAACGTCGCTCAGTAATAAGCGGTGATTGTATTCCATAGAATTGTGACCTGTATATTCCAGAGATCAAGTTAAAAGTTATTCCATTTGTATGCGATTGCTAAATAAAAGCATAATACACAAAGCAAAAGTCTGAATACAATGTCTTAACCGGGTCCTGTTTTTGCGTCATCATATATGTGTTCATGAGCCGAATTTATTGAGGAATTACGACTGTGGACCTGTATGTATGGAGTTGTTTCCCATATTATACACGAATTCTTTATTTCCACTGTACGTTTATAGATTTCTATTTTAATCACGTAAACACATGTAACTTATGTAAAGAATTGTGAAATAGTGAAAAACATTTATCTTATTCTTGAAATAATGTTTCAATGCGCAGGATACCAACTGGGGTATGCTTATGTGGGTCGTTATGTCATAATATTTTAGGCTTCATGAACACATTGATCAGCTTAGTGGCCAAAAAAATAAACGCAAGTCCTGCAAACATTATTCAAATAATTACCCGTTTATCTTTTAACTTTAAAACCCCCGAGGACCCATGATAGCATTCACGTGGACGTATTTCTATCTTATTATTATAAATTATTATAAATTTTTCTAAAAGTTCTTATATGGGTAGTGAAGACGACTTGCTAGCGCAGATCATTGACCTGGGGCTGTGGAATGTTAACCCACCAACTGGGTATTAGAATATCTTTTATTTTGGAGAATTTGTTTTCAGTCAAATTAGCTTTCTAACCATAAGCCACATCTACCTACATCGTTCCGCCATCTCGACTAAATAGTACCATATTTTCAATCTCAACACCCCAGTACTATTGAAATTTTATATCTTATATTTTATACTTGAAAATTATTCATTTAGCTACATTTATTTGCAACTTTTATTTTCCAGCCCCAGAGATTAGAAGAGGCCCAGTGTGCTAAACCCGAAATGGTGAAAATGTTATTTGAGGATGGTGAATAATACAATGGTTATGCAATGGTCTGCAATGGCCTGCCAATAACAGACATGTATTGTATATAGCTTTATACAAAGCACAATATTAATTGTGATAAAATAAAAGAATATGCCCTTGTCATTTAAAAGCAATAAATTTTATAGCCTACAGAGAACGAGTCCCGAGTGAATTAATAATAAACTAGGGCAATGGAACACCGGCATAAGATGAAAGCAAAATTTATGTATGATTTTATTAGCATGAACTATGTAGTATTCATAAAACCTAAATAGACTATTTGTCTAGGGGATTACCTTTAACACGAGAGCCAAGGATCCGTTAAATACTGACGTCATCTCTGACGTAAATGATGTCCCTAGACCCCTGCATAAACTATTTCAATCTATTGTACCGAGAGAACATTACCCAACATTTCCCATGAGTCCGTTCTTAACTATTGAATTAACTCCATAAAAAGAGATACAGCCTATTAATTTTCTTATTGCATTATCTTTGACGGTTTATCGGTCTGTTATAACCTAGAATTAGAAGGACGGTTTGCATACATGTCGGACCTAACTATTCTCTTTATATTAATATAATTTGTAGTTTACCCCGTGGTATTATATAATAATGTCTTTATCACTTACTACGTGAATCTAGCAAATGTCAGAGTGATAGTAGTCTGTAATATAATTCTATTATGAAGTAATTTGATAGGATATTTATTTTATTGACCTTGACCATCATTGGTAGTACAAGTACTAGAGCTTATTTGTACTTTGTAGACTCAAGACCTTACTTCAATAAAATAAAGTTCACGCTGTGCTACACTAAATTGTTTTTTTGTTCATAATCGATCGATGGCTTTTGATATATTATTTATACATATTCAATAGTAAAAGATTTCAAATCCATTTAGCAAAAGCCGACTGATTGAATCCATATTCTAAAGCCTATGTGTGTTAACTGTCAAACCGATACAAGATATCAAGATAACGAAAATTTGTTCAATTTTTAAATACACAATTTTAAGCCTACCATTTAGTTGAAACCAAGCAACTTTTAACATCGCAACATTAGCTGGATCTTCGGCAAAATAAATAATACCCGTGCTTACGGTTACTTGGCCATCAAAAATAGGGTGGGATTTTGTGCCATATCTAACTGAACTAATAAATTATTCTTTTAATAACCTACACGAACCTGTATGTTTTTAAAAGTATAACTACGTGAAATGTTATATAAAAGTTAGTATGTTCTTTTGAATAGTTGTTACTTAAAGATACATTATGGGAGATAAGATAAAGAGATGGCAGTTCTCGCTATAATAGTTAAAAACTAGATAGTGTAAAGGTAATTTGCTGAGAAAGAAGCCGGTGAAATTTTTGCATAGTCTCGGTTATCATTACTAAAATCATTAATATAAACAGCATAGTCTCGATTATCCACTTTTTCTGATTTAATTATCTTTGGCCGTTAGCGGCATATAGGAATCTAATCCAGCCTACATCGAAGGCTAGCCTTGACATGAGAGTTTATTATGGTCTGGATAAGTTAATTAATGTCTAATTGATAATTTAGATAACATTTCAGGCCTAAAGAAAGACTTGTAATAAGCAGATTTTGCTCTTGCATAATGCATGTTTAAGTAAACTGGCATATACAAATATGTTTAACGCTAATATCATAATACAAAAACACAATCTGATTAAAATACAGATCTATAATTCGTTTCGTTTTATTATACTTTCGATGGCCTCTACTACATGAAGTTCTGATCTGTTGTTCTGTAAGGTCGCGTCAGGGGTCATACGAGCGGCTTTTGAACCCAGGACGTCAGACATTTGATTGACCAATCAGCGTTGATGTTTCTATTGCCGATTCAACTGCTGTATATACCGTGCAGCCGCGATGGCTCAGTAAGTAAGACGTTGCTCGCTAACCTGGAGTTCCCGTGTTTGATCCCAGTGTTGGCCGAGAAAGTTCATGTGGATTTTGCGGCGTAGTTTTCCCTTGTGGTTACGGGGGGTCTGACAACTGATAGTCTTTCGGATAGTACGATAAACCGAGGCCCCCTGTACACGTTGGAATATGATATTAGGGTAGGCCGTAGCGCCGCTCTCGGGGGAAAAAATCCCTCATAGCACACTGTAGATGGTGTATGCCCGTCTTTATTAACCCACTCGAAGCAGAAAAGGACGCGAAACTCATTTTATTCTGAAAATGCGGAAGTTCATTTTTGGAATTTATTTGTGGGCAATACCGATTTTATGATCCGGATTAGAGAATGTGGCTCCTCGATCGGGTAACGATTTGGAGGCTTTGGATAGCTGACAATCTCATATTTATATTTAAAACTGTTTGATAAATGAATACGACTCAACTTATATGAAATATAATTATTTGAATCAATTTATACATTTATCGATTATTTAACCTCTAATAACAGGAAATAGAAATCATAAACCGTTTATTAATTTATGATCTCGTTAAAATAGATTGATAATTTTAAATGGAAAACGCTGTTATTGTACAGATATTAAGATAAGATGTTTATTGTACTAAACGACCCCAACCCACCCTTATTTGACGACGCTACCGGCTATTAATAAATCCCTGAATATATTTTTGGGGCGAGTTATGTCAGTGCACTGGTGTATTTACACTGACCAGTCTACTAGCGCTCAACCCACACAGATTGGAGTTTTTGTTGAAAAATTTGCATAGTTTTCGTATATGTTCATCCCGGTGGAAAAACCAAAATGAGAAAATTATTCCGTTATAGCTAAGCTCGCATTTCCCCAGAAATGGTTTCACTACTGATGTCTTCCGTCTTGCTCTAGTCACAGTTGTGGATTATTCATAGGAGTTCCTTTCAGCAGGTTTTGTAATCATTTGACTACCAAAGACTTAAGAAATTATTCTATTAAAGGGGCATTATGGGAGATTAGATAAAGAGCTGGCAGTTCTCACTATAATAGTTGAGGATAATGTAAATGGAATTTGCAGAAAATTTCAGTCAAATTGATCCACTCTGAACCGAGAATTTAGCGATAGAATTTTAGGCCAATCTCGATCATCATTACTGAAGTTCGCACGATAAAAAAAACATAGTCTCGATTATCCATTTTGGAATTAATCATCAACGAGCGTTGAGCAGCAGATCGGATTAAAATCCAGTAAATATCGCAGGCTAGCAATGACATCGAGGGTTGATTATGGTCTGGATAAGTTAATTAATGTCTAATTAATAATTTAGATAACATTTCATGCCTAAAGAAAGACTTGCAATAGGCAGATTTAGCTCTTGCATAATGTATTTTTAAAAACAAAGAGGCCTGATTTCTAGAACGTATAGACTTTCAGAAGATGTAAACTCTGCTATGCTCTATACTGATCTCTTGGTTAAAAGACCCACGGTTGCGATTGTCGCGATTATAGTCGATCTTTATTTCAAGTCCACCAAAAGTCCGTTGTTTCTATGACATGTAGGTAATTTGAAAAATGACGGATGGAGTTTTATTTATACCCTTTCCTTGTGTCCATCTAATAATCACAGCTATCAGTTATGGCCAGTTACAACAAGCGGTTGCTGTGCAAGATACGCCCACATTTTGCAAGAAATGGATGGGGAAGAGGTAAAATCAATTGGAAGCATCCTCTCATTCAAGATTTTAACACAGATCATTGCTACGATAGATGCGTAGTGGAGATTTCAAGAAACGGAAGTGACGAAGGCAAAAGGAAAACAAGAATTGAGTGATAACAGATACACGGGCTAATTTCTGCTTACTAAGACCAAAGACCAAAAGTTGTTTTATGAGTCTGTGGGAGGATATCTAAAAAAATAATTGACTCTTTTCTTCATTGACGCTTTACATGTTTAGCATGAACATAGAACAAATTTAGGATTTTGCATTCTACCTAGCAACCATCATTATAAAGTCGTTTGGTGTCGCCACTGCGTGCTAAGTTGGTGATTGAGCACCTAGCCTACATGGTCAGAACCATTACGTTGATGATATGAACTACTCGCTCTTCGTCTGGTTGAATGATTGGACGAAGTGCCAAAATTGAAAACAACATCGAACGCGATATAGTTTGCAAATACTATGTCAAATAGACTTTACAACATTTGTTGATTTATTTGAAGAGAAGTGCAGGATTTAGAGACTTTTAATTAATTATATTTTTTTTTACAGTTGAGCCAATTAATATTTATATACTGTTTATAATGATAAACATTTTCTAGATATATATTTAGAAATAACATGAATAAAAGTTAGAAATTAGACGATATCATGACATTAACAAATTTAATTTTGAATCTAATATATACCGGCATATATCTCTAGAATGTAAGATCTGGTGTGTACCAAAGTCGAACTCATCCAAGAACTGTTGATCCTTAACACATAGTTTAAGTTTCATCAGCAGATTCCAGTACCCTACATCTAGCCTCGGCTGTATAACGAAATCCGCCATTGAAACTACTTTCAAGTTCCCGGATTACCAACGGCGTTGCCCATGACGACGCCTTTGAACAATGTTTTATCATACAAAGATTTCAAAGTCTGAAGCTGTTTTCACTCAAGTTTATCGGATTTTCTTTAGACAATGCAAGTTTGCACTGAAAATTCTACACACTCTTCGAACGACGCAATTGTGAGAACTTCTTTTAAAAGCAGCAAGTATTCCTAGTAAGTAAGCCGATGCCGCATCGCAAATGTATAGGCGTAGGTACATATCACTTACATCCGAAACTAGATGCCCAGTTCAGCATCACAGGATTAAACCACCATGGTAAGAAATAAATAAAATTTCACTTCATTTTATTAGCCAGAAATCGCACAGAAAGTGTCTCCGACGATCTAGACCCCCAAGAGTTTCCGGGCCCTAGGTGGCCCTGGACCCTCGCCTAGGGAACTAGGATGGTAGTCTCCACCCCCGCCCGATCAAGAATAGCTTCCGACGGCCATGTACTGGCCCACAAGTCCGTTGATTTTAAATTAAACTGACCCATGTAATAAACCAATTCCCATTGAAATAAAGGTAAGAACCTTACCTCATAAATATGTGATTCAATAAAAACCAACAGTTACGTGATATTTCTGTTGATTTTAAAATGGCCGCCAAACCGGGTAACTATTTCAGTGGCCCACTCTTCACTTTGTAACATAATTACTTATTGCCATGCAAACTGTTATAATGTGTTGAGAATTTTGCATTTGAAGCTATTTTTACTTGCGCAAAACCTCAAAGGGTGTATCAATTGTAGCGGCGAACAAGACAAGACGACGCTACAACCTACAATATTGCAGCTAGTATTTCCCCGTCGGAAATTTGAGCGTCGACCTTGTCGGCAAATCAATTCACGGGGCACATGAATAGTCTGAAAACCAATTAGTCCAATGGCCTGTCTTTACCCCAAGTCACGCAACAGTAAGAATGTATATAAACATGTATGATGGCCTATTACTCGACTTCATCTATCAATAGCCTACATATTTACTCAATTTGAATCAGCTCGTTTTTAAACTAGACCTAAACACATAAATAGACGTCTCCCAGACTCCTTATTTTCTTAATATTTTATATACAAATATCAAGACTAGAATTAAACCAAAATTGGGAATACATCTAAAACATTTTTATTTAAAGCTCATCAAACACAAATTTTACAGACAGGCTTGCGATACATAAATATCACTGATTCGATGAACATGTATCGATGACAGACAGGAGAGTGCCTTTAAAAATTTACTACGAGTGGGTTATGGAAATAATTGAAATATGATAAGAAACTTCCCTTTGGAATGAAATAAAAGCATCTATTATCTCGAATAGACTGACATGACCTGATCTGTGATAATTCCGTCTTACGTCATCGACAATATTCATTTCCTTGTAATGCAATTTGTCGGTATTTTTATTTTTTTTTAAAAATACGCAATAAGCGTACTCTTTTCCAGGACGCATCCAAATCTTAAACGTAGCCTACAAGTTGTTAGTTATGTGAGACAATTTGAACTTCTCCCTCGCTTGATCATCATCTGATGGATCAATGTCCAAGGTTCGTTCGTGTCATAACTTGAAATGCGAACCAAGGTCACCACGTTCGACGATAACCTTCCATGCTATATGCGATATCCGTGAATAAGATACCCCCAAATATGTAGGCCCACTATGTGGGGGTTAAAAGTGGTCCTTTGGCTGCACCTCAAAGGACGACTGCCTTCCTTACCAATTCATCAAAAAATCATGACTAGACCACCCCCACCCCACACCCCCTCTCAACTACGTGGATACATTAACTTTTTTAGGGCCCTCGATCATATCCTAGTGCCGGCACCTTCTCAGTCTGCCACTGATTATGGGCAATAAAAATTTTCGCATGCGGATGAAAAGGGTCTTTCTTATTTTCCTGTGGGAAGTTATTGTTTTAAATTATTTGGATGAAAACTGGTATGATATAAATAGCTAACAATGGATTTGCCCGAAGGACAATAATATAAAATGTACTTTATACAGACGTGTCACGTGTGTCTTTTGTAGATTATATTTCATATTATTATTTAAAGTAGCCAAGTCTTAAACTCTGTATCATCCAGTCTTTGACACTGCAAACGCGACTTATTGGTCAAATTAAATAAACATTTATGTTGTTACCTTACTGTGAACAGATGGGCTTCTGATATCCAATTTTTAAGACAAACTGAAATTTTTAAATTTGACACACGTATCAGAATGCTTTCGAGTGCCATTTGTAATGAAGCGACTCGGTGAACGAGACTAAACATACCCCACAGGAGAATACTACCGGTGTAGACTGGAATAACCAGCCGCCAAAGACTTCCATTCAATTTGGACTATTTGCGTATTTCGCCGAACATAACTGATTAGAAATTACAGTAAAAACAGAAACGGTTGAATGTGACCCATTGTTAGGTGCCACAGAATAGATATTTAGCTCCTTTAACTTTAAAATAATGTATATTTTCATATTAATGTTTTTTTGGGTTTTTTTTTTTATCTTCCAGCTATAATTCTTGTATTTATTATCTGTCATCTGTCACTTTATTTTTGATAATAATATACTAGTTGGTATTATAGTTTCTATATTTTGTACACACGCCGGGTGAAGTTTCGCAGTATTGTACACCTCATCCTGAACAACAAAATTTATACTCTCACATCACTGTACAAAATTAGGTTGCCAAATTTGTAGATGTATCGTTTTCGAAATATTCGGCGTTCGCATCTTGCGGCTTGCCCCCCCCCCCCCCCCCAAAAAAAATAATTTTTGTTTGCAAAAGAAGCCGAAAATGTTTGCGATTTTGCAATTCTACTCCTAGCTGTCAGTAAGTTGAAATATCCTTTCGGGTCTAGGGAGCGGTCGAGGGAACGATGCCATGGCTCTGAGAAAGTTTGGCAGTTTTTGGCACCAATGTATTTCCCATTGACAACTCATATATCGCGCCTATTGCGCTCCGTGAAAATCTTCCCAAGGAAACAAATATTTGTCATTCTATGGTCAATAAAATTTTCGCGTCCCTGTTGAAAGTAATTTCAATAGAATTAGATCCAGCTGAGGGCCAAAAAAGTTGCAAGGGAACGAAGTATGTTACATCAAATCGGGAAATAAATGTAGAATATGAACTCTAACTAAAAGAAAAAGTGTGTTACACTCACGGAATACAATTTTAAATTCGTTAATAAAACTTAATTAGTGTACAACCATTAATAATTGCTTTATTCGTTACAAACATTTAAAATTAGAAGGCAGTTTAAACCATTTAAAAAAAAAAAAAAAAAAAAATAAAAGCAAAAGAAAGAAAACGGATGAATGTAAAAATTTACATTTCAGGCAGTGAAATACCCGCAATACCCGTAATTCGCGGAAACTCCCCCTCATGTAGTAGTCTAGATCGTCAGATTAGTCCAGACATATTTATAACTTTCATAGAATTCGGCATCGAATTGAATGGACGGGTTTAAATACACTATTAATAATTCGGTGAATGTTCGGTGGTAACTCTTGAAAATTTCGAATAAAATGTACGATATTCAATCAAAGGTGCATAGTCTACAATCGATTGTAGTTTGTATTAAATATCATAGCGTTGCCTTTTTGTTTCCTTCTAACGGTAAGTGACCGAGAGATCTAGACTATCAACAAGTCACATGAGTATCATGTGATTAAAGATGGTTGACTATCGTCGAGTTTATTTTTTGTTACAATAATATCTCACTCAATGACAATCATGAGTAACCAGATTTACAATGTACCAGGAATTCCGCCAGATTTGAGACAAGAAGAAACAATTTTACAGGTGGCAGACGCGCTTCAATATCTCGATAAGGTAGCAGACGACATTTTCAACAGAATACGTAAGAAGGTCGACGACAACACTAGTCGATTACAGACGGTAAATGACAGAGTCAGACTAACACAGGCCAAGGTTGACAAATTAACTGGCAGTAACAAAGCCACTAAAGTTCATGCTGGTGCTAAATATCCTGCGAGTGCTAGTCTGGATCAATACTCGAGTCTGTTTGATAAAGGTGGAAGTTTAAAAGAACCAAAACGTCCTCATTACAGACTACAAAGTAAACATCAAAATGTAGATGACACCGTTCTGCGTGAAAAGTTACAGTATTATAATTTTCATCTTAATGTTAAGAAACGTAGCCGTGATGGTGACAACAAGGAAGAAGGTTTGGGCGGTTTACCGAAAGTGTTACCATCCGTTTGTTCCTTGCTATTGTTTAACACCTCAGAAAATCCCTATAAAAAGTATGTAATGTTAGATCCTTTAGGTGTAGTTACAAAGACTCGATCAACTTTAGAATATGAAGAAGCAGGCCTGGCCGATGCTCCTAGTACCATTGTACAAAGTGAAGAAATGCTACAACAAAAAACAGAAAGTTATTCTTACATGCCAGATATTGGACATGTTCCTGAAATAGCTGTTCCAGACTTTTTACCCAATTTATTAGGAGTGGCTGATGATTTGTCTTTTACTGGAGACACTGTTTTCTCTATAGCTCCATCTGTTCATGGTAGTGGAATGCCAGATTTACCTACGGTGTTACCTGAACCGGATACAGGCCTTCCAACTGGTCCGGCTGATTCTACACTTAATGCTTCATCAGGGCTTCCACCACCTGACATTGCCCCAGGTGGACCCCCACCACCTCCTCCTCCCCCATCTGGTCCCCCACCTCCTCCTCCACCACCCCCACCTCCTACTGATGCCCCAAGTGCCCCACCTCCCCCTCCCCCTGGACCTGCACCACCAATTAAGATGGAGAATGTACCAGCTGAAGTAGCGGCCCCAGCAGATGGTAGAGCTAGTTTGCTTGACTCAATCAGAAATGCTGGTGGATTAAAGAAACTGAAAAGTGGCAAAGACAGAAAAATTGCTAAAAAGAAGCAAAAAATGGAAGAAAAGGATGTTGGAGGTGTGAGTGCTGGTGGAGGCGGGGGTGGAGATTTGATGAGTGATTTATTTGCCAAATTAACAATGAGAAGAAAGGGAATATCAGGAACTGGGAAACCTGAAAAATCTGACAATTCTGGAAGCAGTGGTGGTGGTGGTTCTGCCATGGATAAAATATCATCTATGATACCAGCTCCCCCAAAACCTGATGATGCTACTGAAAGTGGTGGTGGTGATGATGATGGTGATTGGGAATAAATTATTCTTATTTTTTGACTTTATATATAATTATGGTTTATGATTATGCACTGTATAATTTTCTTAGTGATTTTCATGACAGAGAATTTTACTGGTAATTGAAATTATGAAAATTTATTTGAAAACAAGTATGATATATATTTGTGTAGAAATACTTAATAAATGCCCACTCATTAAACAAGATGGTCCACCTAAATCTTCATTCTAACAATAGATAGAAAATGACAGCAGCTACTAGAATCAATTTTAAAACCTTTTTATAGATGCTTGTTCAAAGGCCACATTAACTTAAAGATTGCGTTCATGACATCGAAACTAGGAATTTTAAATACATACACGACTAACAACTAATTTTGACAAACAAAATAAACAAATTTGACCAAATAAAGATTGTGTTCTTGACATCAATAGTGGAAAAAGAACTAGTAGTCGTTAATATGAAAGGGTTAAGACTAATAGTTAATTTCAATACCCAAAATAAACAAGGTTTACTAATTTACATGAGCTTGGAGCATGCCATATTGAAAGATCTAACAGTTTTCATGATGTCACTACAATATTATTTAATAAAGAGTAAGGTTCAAATAGTTACATCTAGAATCTTACTGGTTGATTCGAGTAGCTGTTATTATTAACTATATTTAGTTAGACTAGAGAAACAGAGAGATTGTCTCTATTAAATTGTTGTTTTCATAACACACTCAACTATATCTATCACAACAACAACATTAAAATTTAATTCAGATCACTGCATATAGAATTGTTATTATATCATATTATATTCATTATTAAATGTCACGAATATGTTTTATTCATGTATTCTGTTAAATAAAATCATTGTTATACATGTACATGCGAAGACCTCTTTTGTTGAGAAACATTAGTCTGTAGATTCTGGTCAATATAATTGAGTCTAAAAGAGGGAAGAAGCTTTTATTCTTTTTCACTTTCTTGTTGCAAGATTACTGAAATGACATTAAAATCCCACATATTTTCCATCCTTTCACAGGATTAAATAAAATAATCAATATCAATAAATGTGTACAAGGATTAGAGATAAAATCCAGATACAATTTCAAACAAGTAAAGTAACCCATTCTTTATTCAAAAAATTTGATGATAGAGTCCTAATGTTTTCAGGGCAAATTATTTATTTTTATTGAAATTTAATATTAGTCAGGATCTAACCATGCAATAGATGTTGTTCAATAAGCTGGCAACAATTCATAAGATAAACCTTGAGTGACATTTATAGAGCACATTGTAATACTTGGTAATGTGTCGTAATTCCTAAGATAACAGGAACTTTGAGCATCGATTTCGGAGTTTTAAACTCAATACAGTTATGGTATGTATTTTTCAAACCAAAGAAAAGGGTACAGCCGTTTATATTGTTTTATGCCTTTTAAATTTTAATTAGCACCTTGATGATCAGAGCAGATTAGTAATAAAATTATTGTTTATTTACCATAATCATGATTATATGGTTATAATGGGGTGGTGGTGGGGAGGGGGGAGTGTAATACATAAAGTAATATTTCTGTATTTACATCATTTGGGTGGGCGACACCTTCAGAGTTATGGAGAGAAAACCTGCTGTGATTGTTTGGGGAAGTTAAAGTACCTATCTTGTAAATGTTCTGAAGGTCAGAGTATAAAGACAGATAATTTTGAACTTGCTGGGATTGTTTGGTTAGTCCTAAGGAGAAATCCTGTTACCCCTGTTTCCAAAACCGTGTAAACTCTCTACAGCCGGTTAATGTGTTTTAAAAAATTTTCAGACTTACTAGGAGTGATGGGCTTACCTTAAGAAGGAACCTGATCGAAACATCCATCAGTTATATGCGTAGATGTTGCCCCTGGCCTTAAAAACTTGAACTCAGCCCTTCAAAATACTGCTGGTGGGCATATGTTGGTTGACCGGCAACACTGTTTGTAATGCTCTGCTATTGGCCTTGACATTTTATACTCAACACAAACTAAATCATTTTGGGACTAACATAATATGGTTCAATTTTATTTCAATAATTCACTTGCACTAGGGGTCTTTAGAAGTGGGAGGACCCCAGAGGACCAAAAAAAAGCCTACGGTTGGACAGGTGACCCCACTACTCATCACAGACAAGTGGGGAATGACAGATCTTATGAACCAACGGGTAGCCCAAGCGTTAATTATTCGGCAACCCAAAAAAAGTACATAAACAACACCAAGGACATGCAGTGTAACGTGAACAAAGGAAATCTAAAATATTTGTACTTTTGAATTGATTGAATAGTAACACACATGTACCCCACAATAGAACTATATATAAGTAATACTCTCTCAGAAAAAGGAGTGCAATTGAATAGATTGTTTTGGAGAATTCTAAATAATAATCAAAGGGGATTACTAGTCCTTTTTATTTATTTATTGATTCATTAATATTTTTTTTATGTTATTAATCTTTTATTAATCTGTTGGTGAATACGACATAAACAATATGCTTATATATTAACCAATACATTGAAACAACGTTGTCCTTCAGTACTTGTTATTATTACGATCAATTACCATAACAATAGGTTTTCCCGATAAACAGGAACTAAAAAAACCAAAAAAACATGTGGTCCTTCACTACTACTTTAACCTTAGTTATTATTAACACTTACCATTACAAAGGGTTTACCTGTTTAATCGTCCATAAACAGGATCTAAAAACTGACTAATTTTCTAGTTATATGCAATCTTTGTTAAGACCAATAATAATACCAGGGGCGTCGGAACCCGGGTACCAGGGTATACAAATGGTACCCTGCCCTTTTCTGAGGTATACATGTATACCCATGCCCTAATTATGAAAGTTTTCAACCTTTTTACTAGTCTATTCATTTTTAAATGATAGATATGTAATGGCTCTCTGGTCGGTCGCGAACCGGCTCTCGCACTCTCATTGTCAGCTATCAGTGCATGCCTTGGCCAGATGTCTATAAGTGGTTAATCGAGTTCATGAGATGATAAAGGCAAGTGATTTAGTGATAGTAGTTTCTGTTTATAGTTATTATGAATTTTTTATGAGATGAATTGCTCATGATACGAAAATTGTGAATAATCAGGCTATTGTCTCTTTAATTATCATGTATTTTAAAGGGTTTTATGTTGGAATTTGGAATGCTAGAGGCGCTCTAAACAGTGTTCTCGGAATTGACAAATTTCAAAATTTTCTAGAGGCCGGGGGGAGATAGCCCCCCCCCCCCATCTTTTGGTACCCTGGCCCTCGAGCCGTTCCGGCGCCCCTGAATAATACATAGCATTTATTTAAATTTAAGATCCGGATGGTGCCGTTTAACAATGTCAAACATTGTTTTGTTTTAAATGGTGAATTTAAATGTCGTTGGAGAGGGTTTTTTTTAGTTCCACTATATCAGAGGTGGCGCCAGCCTCCGGTGGTTGGAGGGGAAAAGCTGGGGGCGGGGCAAAGGCGCGAGCTTCAACTAGGGGTATGGTGGGGGTGGGGGTCTGCCCCCGAAATGTTTGAAAAACAGACTGCCGGAAATTCAGTCTGGCAGTATTTCAGGCACTGATCGTGGAGATATATAGATCTGACCAGGGCCGGATTTACCTGCTTGCGAGCCTTAGGCCAAACTCATCAGAGAACCCCTAAATTTATAATTACTTTCAGAGTCATTGTACCTGATATCTTACAGACCCTATATAGTAGTGGCTAAATGTATCATCTAATTGGTATATCATTTATACACAGTGTTTATGTTCATGATATTGATTTTCAACAATTTCCGATAACTGGAACTGCATAAGTTATCAACTGATTACAGGGACATGATTTGTAGCGTCACCAGGAAGAAGTAGAAGCCAATCAAGCAAATTATTTCTGATAATTACTTGGAGTGTTACTCTTCTTGATGCTCTCGAGAATACATATATGTGACAACATTTGTGGAACTGCCGAAATTATTTTCGAAGCGTGGCATCCTAGCTATAATCGGTGTGCTACGTTATACCTTTTACATGACAACAAATTATTGTGCATTAAAAAGGGGATATATTTATCAAACTATCCCCACAATTTGGTACCAAACTCACGTAATATTCTATTAGTATTGTTAGAGCAGTAATATATAGTCCCCTCCCCCCGACCTAATATCAACGCTGTCCCCACCTTGGACCCCCGCTGCTCAAATTCCTGGACACACCTCTTTCTAAATGAGGAACTGAAGATGATATATAATTGACTGGAAGCAGGAAAAAACTCATTGATCTGATTCTGTCAATTTTTAGAAATATGTTGGTCAACATGATGTGATGTTCTTCTAGGACATCGACCATTTATGGGGCTTTATTGACATATGATAACTATCAATTATACATCAACTGTATTAATCGGGGTTATTGACCAGAACTATATGGTTAAATAATTACTATTCTAATAACTCACCGATTAATTCTTCTTTAGCTATAGAAAGTATAATAAGACTAAATGAAACAAATTCGAATCGGTATATCATATGTGTCAATCAAATGTCCGACACAGACGACCGAGAAGACATTCCGATATAAGCATGCATGACTGGATTACAAAGGACTATAAACGTTGACTTTTAAACAATATTAACGACCAGTCTCTTGGGCTTAAAGAATTAGATTGAAACTGTCATCGACATACACCCGTTATATTAGTTTCAGGGTGAAAAGTTGAGGAGTTATCTAGATAGGTAAAATTTGTCTGGTTATAAGCTTATTGTTGAAAATTATCACAGAGACTAGAATTGGTCGCCTGAAGCAAGACATTACCTTAAGATTGAGAACAGTAATATCAAATATCCTTTAATTAATTAAATAGTACAAAGGGAAATATTAAGCTCACAGTATCTTGTCAGATCAAGGAAGAAGCAATATCATAATAGTCTTGTCAGTTTTCATATATCAGAAAAATCGACCAGATAAAATTAGAATTTCGCACTTCAGACGTTCGCTGACCACGAGTATTGAACCGCGAATATCTTTTTATCCGACCGCTTTCATTGTGGATGTGTCTTGTAGTCACCTGCGTACGTCGCTACATCCAACTTATCGTGAGAACACTCATCACGTTACAGTCGGATTTATTCCCAACTGAAGTTCATTCGCAGGAATTGTTTATTTGTCGAAATTCTAATGTTTTTAATCATAAACCTCTGGGTTATCTCCCCTCCCGATTTACGTTTATGTAAAAGTTCTTACATGGAATTGTTCTTAAGTGTATTAGGAATAACGCTATTGAACTTCAACGTTTTTTGTTTTTTCTCCTCAGATGGTAAATTTCGATCGAATACGTGATATTTCCGGTGATATTTTGACTTTTAAAGCTTAAACATGCATTAGGCAAGAGCAAAATCTGCTTATTACAAGTCTTTCTTTAGGCCTGAAATGTTATCTAAATTATCAGTTAGACATTAATTAACTTATCCAGACCATAATAAACTCTCGATGTCAAGGCTAGCCTTCGATGTAGGCTGGATTAGATTCCTATATGCCGCTAACGGCCAAAGATAATTAAATCAGAAAAAGTGGATAATCGAGACTATGCTGTTTATATTAATGATTTTAGTAATGATAACCGAGACTATGCAAAAATTTCACCGGCTTCTTTCTCGGCTCATAGTGGATCAATTTGACTGAAATTTTCAGCAAATTACCTTTACACTATCTAGTTTTTAACTATTATAGCGAGAACTGCCATCTCTTTATCTTATCTCCCATAATGTATCTTTAAGAATGTGGTGCAGGATAACGATCTCGATGGAACTCTTTAGAAGTTTGTGTTATTGTTCATTATTTCTAAAATAAACGTAGGCTTTTGTCAAAATTCTAAACAACGTGGTACTGTAAAGCATCGATCTTATTGAATATAGGGGGATCACGATGGCTAAGTGGGTAAGACGCGGCTCACTGGCCTGGTGGTCGGGTGTTCGATCCCTGCACTGGCCGAGAAAGTTCATCCAGTGATGCAGGAC